CAGGTACAAACATACTTCAGCTGCCATTTGCTCAAATGCTTGTGATTATTTTTCTAATTCCCTCGCAGTCTAAGGCATTAAAGACGAGGTGTTGACATCAACATCTGCAAGCTGTTGTGAAGTTATCGCTTGCAGGAGGAACTTAAGGCAGGAAAAGGAACAAGAGAGAAAGTGAGAAATAGAAAGTGAGGAAAAGGGAGAGGACACAGGCGGGGCCGGCTCATACTTCAGTGCCAGTCGATCTTTCCACGCTTGTTCTGCAGGATCAGAGGCCAGAGGGCACCTGGAACCACCGAGGTATTTCACCTTGCACTGAAAGCTTTCAGCTCAGGAGGAACTACAGCCAAACAAACTGCTCGTGTTGCTTTTTTTTTTTTCTGCTGTGTGGAGAATGACACAGTGAAAAGCAGTTTCCATCACACCTACACACAGCCGTGAAAATGAAATCAGACTGACAACTGACTGGCTATGACATACTTCAAGACTGGTTGTGACCCATTAAAATCAATCATTTCATTTCCCTTGATTAATTCTTATTAACAGGAGAGTATTTTACAAGAGAAGGTCTGACAAATTGAATACAACTTTTGATAGTCCCATCACTCATCTTGTGACCCCTAAGATTTACTTTATCTACCCCCAGGTTGGTAACCACAGCTTTAAATGAGAGACTAGTGGCTGAATTAAGCAGCAAACTTTTGATTTTGAGCTCCAAATCAAGTGATTCAGACCTTATCAAAACTTGGCTATCATACTATGTTTCACAGTATGGACAAACACAAATACACTTAAACGTGTGTTACACTCAATGTAGAGAAGACTGTAGACAATCTGTTGAATACGATTTACACAAGGTCTACATAACCGGATCTCCCACTTTTTGCTGAGGGCACCCCTGACACCCCTTCATGTCACCCTGTGGGTCCCAGGGCACCACTTTAGGGATCACGTCAAAAAGATCCGCTTGTAACCATCAGCACCTGGGCAACACGCTGCTTTGCATTCCTGTTACATTTGCCTAAACGTGAAGAGTTTCCTGAGAAGCAGTAGTTTGCGCGTTGACAGGCCTTGGCCACAAGTCCCGCACTAAGTTCCTCCTTGAGCAGTTTACAGTGAAGGGTTCGAGATGAAGAAAGCGGCAACTCGTGTCAGACGCGAAGCACATAAGTAGTTAAAATAGTGCATACGTGAGGATCAACCCATCTGGACTCCCCAATGAGTAACAAAATGAGTAGCAGACAGGAGGAACATACCCCAAAGTACTGATGAAGCCATTCACCGAGCCTTCCGCGTAAAGAGACACAATGTCTCCAATGTGAAGAAAACTGGATCTGTGCTCTGACATGTTTTTTTAGTGAAGATACGCTTAAGATTTGTCCTGGTTTTCCATTTATGAACGAATGGCACTTCTCTTCGGGTGAAGTACAGTCCACACGTTACAGCGCCTCCAGTTTAGCAGCAGTCCTCAGATTCACCTTCATTCTTTCACTTCTGCATTTCAGCAAGTCGACAGAGAAAACGCGAAAGTGCGCGAAAGAAATAAACTGCTGGCGAGTTTAAGGCTAATGCTGTGGGGTTTTAGACTTATTCAACTTCTTCCTGTATGTCAGACAGACTCGAGAGTGCTCTTCTTCACATCCACCTCAGGGGGAGGAGACTGCTGCTGTCAGGGCTATGAGCTAATTCCGTTCAATGACATGTTTTTGTTTTTATTCAGAGCAGGCCCTCTAAAAACAGAAGTCATTAAATTAGTTGAAACTTTACTTCACAATGAATCTATAGCTGTAAAAGGAGATAACTGGTAAATATATAGAGGTTCTATGGGAGATAGAAAATAGGTTATACCATAAAGTCCACTCAAGAGACTACAACACATGAAGCCCACTCGGTTCCATTTGAATTCTGCATTACTTATCAATGTATGGACATTTAAACATATTAACACGTCACAGTTATGAAAACTATACTAATTTTTATGAATGTGTGTGTAAATCAATGGTTCTCAAACAGAGGGCGGGCCCCCTTGCGGGGGGGGGGGGGGGGGGGGGTAGAGCCAGTGCAGTGGGGTGGGGGGGCGTGATATGATTTATGTAGAGAAAATAAACTAGAGTTTTTAACTTTAACCCTAACTTAATCCTGTAAACTATAAAATAGGATTATTTCATAATTATATGGTTCCATCCAACTGAAGAGAAGCAAACCAGCATTTTTGAAGCTACGAAAGGTAAGCACCTACTATCTCCCTTTAAAATATTTGTGATTAAAAATTACATTAAAAGGTAACAGCTGGGCACAAGCAATGAGCAAGCTTTATAACAAGACAGAGTGTGGAGGTCATAAATCACACATTCACACAGTCTCCCTAAAGGTTTTCACATTACTTGTTTTATCTTCATTAAAATCCCTTTAGGTTGTGTCTGAATATTTCACACACTGACCACAGGCATCGTCTCTCCCAATCATTTGGCAGCAAATCAAACTTCTGGCTGCTTTGGACAAAATATCCTGATTGTGCTTAGTTTTGGACAACAACAGTCATACATAGTCAGAGTGACTCTGTTTCCCAGTGTGTCCATTACAGGTGTCCACACTGCTACAGGGGCAAGACTGACAGAGACACAAAAACGTAAATGTCTAATTTTTTTTTCCTATCAAAACTACACATGTTCTCTGTTTTGGTAATTTGTTTTCTTTCACATCAGTATCTTCTAGCCTGGAATACACAATGAGCAGACGTAGAAAACATCAAAATACAGTAATCCAAGTACTGTAGTTATAGTGGCAAGAAAAAGTAAGTGAACTACCTGCATTTACACATAAGATAGTCTTAAAATACGGTCAGGTCTTGATCTTAATGAACAAACACAATCTATTTTAACTAATAAAACACAAACCATTGTATTTTTCTTGTTCATATTGAAAACAACATTCAAGGTGTGGAGGTGTGGGTTAGAGCTACTCAATCTGAAAAAATACTTAAACATTTTGAGTTTGCTGTTCACATGAAACATCTGCTGATGTGAACCATGCCTTGCAAAAGAGCTCTCAGAAGACTTGAAAGGTTGTTTTGCACAAAGATCTCAAAGAGCCTAAATATTCATCAGTCCACAATTGGATAAACTGTGTATAAATGGAGATGATTTTGTTCTGTGGCTTTTCTCCATAGAAGTGGGCGTCCAGCTAAGATGACGACAGAAGCACAAGGCAGAATGATCAGTAATGTAAAAAAAGAACTCAGAGTAACAGATAAAGGCTTAAAGAAATCAATGGAGCTGGTTAACATCTCTTTTCATGAGTCTGCCATAAACAGATCATGGTGCATGTTTACATGGAGCATGTTGTCCATGGCCGGACACCATGGAGGAAGCCGCTTCTCTCCATATAAAAACATCATAATTTGCCTTTGCTGCCTGGACAGCTCGTGAGAGGAATATGAATTCCCAAGTTTGATCACATTTTATGACCAATTAATTCAAAAGACCCAGTTAATTCCAAAGGGTCCAAACCCTTTTTCTTGCCACTATAGTTTTCAGGTATCTGCACTTCACTTGAATAATTGCAGTTTATGTTACTTTATTCTTCTACTTTGCTACATTTTAGAAGGAAATACTGTATTTTTTACTCCACTGCTTTTATTTTACAGCTATAGTCACTGATTACTTTTCAGATCATGATTTTTTTTATGAAAAACATATGGTATGCTTATGAAATATCAATCATTGTCAAAGATTCAACCATTAGTTCCCAAATTTTGGCAAAGATTTGATAAACATCCAAAAAATGAACACAAATTTGAGTATCAGAACTTTTTTCTTCTTTTATCTCCCAGTAATCACCTCATGACCCTCGAAATTTATCTGGTGACCACACACTGATGCATCAGTCCTGAGGGAACAGAGTGAGTACTCTCGATACATGAAGTACATTTAGCTGATAATAGTATTGGTTATAGTTGGTTTTTGAATTGTGATAGAGTATATTCACATTGTTGATGGTGGTGGTGGTGTTTCTGTGGAAAAATGTATAAGTTTTTAAAGTTTGAACCATAAAACACACCAACACACTTACCTGATTCATTGGAAAGCTTTGAACAGTATGAAATGGTCTGAGTGATTTGCAGTGAGGCTGATATACAACAGGACGATGGTGGTTTGTACTACATATATTGATACACCAGAGGCCGCTAGAGATCAAGACTCAAAGGGTTCAGACCATAGACTGGTTTACGACTCAGCTGCAAATGTCACACAGGCAATCCCATTATCCGACCTATATCGCCCTCTAGCGTTCACCTTACTGAACTAACAGGTAATTCAGCTGTTCTTTTGGGTTTGCCTGTGTTAAATACAAACAAGTCGACCATAAAAGGTTAATTCATACTGGTTCCAAGGACTGGTTCCTCAGGCTGTACACACAGTCTGCAGGTGAGACAAAGTGACCAAAAAGTAAACTACTAAATGTAAATTACTACTGACACTTAACTATAACAAAATAATACAGACTTTTTTTATGTTGTAAAATTACAGATTACGACTGACCCTGTAAAATTATTTAATGTTGGCAGACAAACTAGTTTATATCTACGAGGAAGTAAAATGTTTACAGCCTGGACCTGCCGAATAGTCACTCTGATGGAAAGAAATCTCTAACAAAAAATGGGAAGTTAAAGTACAGGACTTTACCGTCACTATTTTTTATTTTATATAGACTTCCACCATGGCCTACAAAACTATACAACTGTATTAATACAACATAGTATACTCAGTGCTAGCTGTGGTAATATATTTCCATCTGAAATGATAATAGATACGGGTAATGTGTGTGTGTGTGTGTGTGTGTGTGTGTGTGTGTGTGTGTGTGTGTGTGTGTGTGTGTGTGTGTGTGTGTGTGTGTGTGTGTGTGTGTTTGAGAGAGAGAGAGAGAGACAGAGAGAGAGAGAGAGAAAGAGAGTATTGATGTTCCCATGCAGGCTGAGCAGTCGCACCTTTCCACCAGCTCCGGACAATGAACCGCCCCTCTCCTTCCTTCACTCCGCACCACACAGACCTGTTTCCCAGCCAGCTGTAGCCTTCACTTGTTTTTTTTTCATACAACGAACACACACCGTCGGGTCGGACGGAGACTTTCTCCTTGTAAACCTGTGAGCTGTGTCTTGAGTCTCCTCGGTTTGCCTCCGACACCAGCAGGACTCTCCCGGTCACCCTTCACTTCACCACCAGTCGTTGAAGTCGTCGCGTGGCTTCGACGGGTGTAAGTAAACCAGACTTCTTAAATTTGAATGAGTGTCTAATCAGCTTTCACACAGCTGATGCTCGGTATAGCTGATTATCGCTGTAAACTTTCGGATATATGGTTTGTTCTTTTACCTTTGTTACCTCGTGGAGTTAACAGCTCGTTGAATAAACAATGAAATTAAGCTAATATGGTGGGAAAGCGTCAGTATAACAATATCTGTTGTTGCCTAGGCTACCAAAGGAGAAAATCGATATGAGCAGACAAACAGCAGCAGACACTAGTCTGAGACAGGAGAGCTGAAGTAAGGTGCATGGCCTCCTTTGCTTATTTGTATCTCACGCCACATTGTGAGACTTATAATGTCAAACTGCAGTTACTGTACACTGTAATATGTCTGCTGTAGCATAAACCCATTGACCAAGTATAGTACACCTAGTTTGTCCTCCTTCACAGGCACATATGTATTAATGTATTATAGTCATACTGTATCTTCATAAGAATTCTACACTGCCAATTTACCATTTCACCCCTAATCAAATCCCCTTTCAGAAGATTAGGGGGTAAGCCTGTGCCCAGCCTGCTTCATTTTACTTGTGTGTATTGACACATTTCTACTTTTTCTCCCAGAGGGTTGAGGAGTGAATGGTGTGAACAGTGTTGGAATGCAACAGGATTATCATCTGACTTTAGCTCAGAGGAGGCGAAGCAACCAGACCATTAGATCACACATTTTCTGATCTTTGCTGCACTACAATGCCTTTGAGGTTACGATGTCTACGCTGAAGCACGTTATTCTGCACGATAAAGACCAGGATGTTGAAAAGAAGCTCGACTGGAGTTACATTGAATGGGCTGAAAATGAAGTTATTACCACAGGTGTGGCGAATGCACAGACACAAACGGACTGGGGGCCCTTTGAGCACAAGGAGAGTCAGACCAGCAACCCGGTCATAATGCACATAGACCTCACACGGACACACTCCAAGCTGAGACACTCGTCTCTGGTGGACACTGATGGCTTGGTAGCACCTCTCTTCCAGTTTGATCGGCAGGCCCCCGCCCGCATCTCCACGTCTCCGACTTTGAGGAGGATGAGGAGCACCCGACGTCCTTTGATAGATTCTCGGGATCCTGTGAGGATGGGGAGCACACAGGAGGAGCCTTCCTCTGCAGGCACACCACCCCCCATAAGACCCCTGTCTCCAGTGCACAGAGTCAAGTCTCCTCTTGCAGCTAGCCCCCTCTCTGAAGGAGAGATCTGTCACGATTATCAGCCCATTTCATCCTCTGGCCGACAGAGAACCAGATCACATAGATCAAAGACTTTTGACAGTGGTATCACTTCCACCAGACAAGAATGTCGCAGCGCTCATCCTACTCTTATTAAAGATTTTGGATTTCTTGATGGTGAAGTGCAGGTGAGCTTTTACTGTACTTGTAGTGTAAAGCATTATTTTAACCGAGGCATGTCTGCACAAAAGCAGACCATAGTCCAGCAGAAATCATTTGTTTCTCTAATCATCACTCAAACCTCAATGCAAGACCACAAGTCATGTGAGTGGACTAGTGTGGATTTTATCCCAAAGCCTATAAATTAAATGGTTACACATTCCTTCCTTGCGGAAACTTTCTCTCCCTCATTCTGCGTTGCCTCCTGTGGTGGTCACTCACAATGCAAGCTTTTGACAGCAAATGAATCAGCAGTTACATGCACTGACAGCTCTGACCAAACCCACTGCCTGGAGAGCCCTGGGAAGTGCTCTCCTTGGGCCCCTATTCACCACAGTCAGCAGTCACCCAATAATGGAGGGGTCAGTGAGCGATGGAAAAAGATAATGGGGAGATCTATTCATCAGCTTGTGGTATTCAAGCGAGCACATTCTCAATAGAGTCCCGACATTCTCCTCAGATATCAGAGGCTTTTGAGTCCAAGTGACCACTTAAAACACTGATTCAAATTTGAATGTCTTTGAAAGTGATATAGCGGTGTTGTTAGCAGTAGGAGGTCCCGGCACCCTATATTTAACGCTGAGTGTACAGTGAGACGGTGCTAGTGTGGTATCTAAATAACATAATTAGAGCTTTGGAAACTTGAGGTCAGTAAAAGTGAGTGAGTGTTTTTAGTCTGTAAAATTATCTGATTTGAACTTATTTTGATTTATGCCTGTGTCTTATTTTCAAGTTAATCATCAAGTATATCTACTGTAATTTGTGTTTTCAGTGAACACTGATGTATAAGTGTGGTTACAATTGAAAGTTTTCCATTGACTGATGCAGTATTTTTGTCTCTCTGCAGGAGAAAGATCACTGCTATACTAGGTAGGTGTACCTTGAACTGTTTTGCATGTTGTCTGTGTATCTTGTCAGTTACTGCCAAAAAAACGCCAGGACTTCACTTTCAAGTTTGTGAGAACATATTTGCATATCAGGAATGTAGTAAAAACCTTTCCTCTATCTGATAAGCTGCACTATAGTGCTCACATTTTTTATTTTTAAGTCCCTCTGATTTGTCTCTAATTTGCATGATGAACGACTTTTTCCAAAATATCAGTCAAATCATTTCGTTAAGGGAAGAATTTGACGCATCACTTCAGCATCATGAGTTCCTCAGCCGTCTGTGCTCATGAGCAAGCGAGGATGACTGGACCTTTGGTTTAGGGAGCCCCATTGTGCATTCATTGTCATTCATATCTTTGTTAATGGAGCATAAGCTTAAGTTTTGAGAGTCCCATGGTTATGTATGGGCTAGACAAACTCTCATTAAGGCTGTTTTCTCTTACTGCCACCCACACCCCTCCTAATGGAGCTGCCGGGCTCTTCCCCTCACTGGATAATTAGGCAGCTATTGTCCCAGTAATTACACCCTGGCATTGTGCCTCTTACAGTGACCGGGCCTTGCGAGCCATTGGTTGGGACAGTTTTGTTTTGGGGGCATCATTATTTCTCTTGTTGTGCGGGAACAAAGCATCCATTTTTACAAGTGCTTTCAGTGGCAGAGAGGCCAACACAGAGAAAGCTTTCTGAACGGTCACAAAGCAACAGGATGTCATTGTGAGGATTCTCTGGACTGCAAGGAGACACTGACCTGGTTTAGAGGAGTGCTTCTCTTACTGTCCCATCAGCCATGTATTCTCTTCAGTGCTCAGGTGATGCTCCTGACTATTATCTGTTTTACTGTTGATTCAGCGCTGCGTGCCTATAGATTGATATGTAGGGGGGTTGTATCAGTTTACTAGGAAGAACACGACCACGAACAGTTTGTGCTTTCACAGTTCAACAACAGTGTCCTGGAGGAAAAAACCTACAAGGTTACTCCTGTTCATTTGTAGACTAACATATACTCTGAGTGTACAGGTTGGACCCTGCAGCCATGTGGCTTGCAAGTGCACCCGAGCTGTGCTTCTTCTGCAACTGTGCAGGCACAGGAGCAGAAATGCAGCCACTGTATGAGGGGTTATGTTATGTGCTGTTAGAGGAAGACAGCCTGATCATTTAGTCAGCCTGATAACAAAGCAGATTTTACATATAATAGTAAACAGAAATTAACCAGTACAAGCATTGTTCCTCTTGCTTGTACTTCTGTTCCAGTTTATTGTATTGTTATCATAAACAGAAATATTAGCCCTCGCCTGTAAGCCAGACTTCCTTATGGTTTGATCATGTCCTGATAATCTTTATCAGCCAGAAAGTGTGTTGATCTACCCTGACCTAATGTGGATGTGTTTACAATACACCAATGGTGAAGTGGATTTAATAACAGTGAGTTTTCAGATCCTTTTCAATCGACTTCTGAACTTCTTCTTAACCCTTCTTTTTAAAGCCCAGACCCCTCTAAAAATTTTGGACATGAAACTGCAGGGCGATGACTTGGGTCACTGACCAGCTGTCGATCAGTGTCAGCATGCTGAAAGTGAACATTACCTTTGGCAAAACCAGCCTGTCTGGTTGCTGTGGGCCTTATTTGTGCTGACTGCAGCCATGTTAAACAACTGCAAGTCTCTTGTTAGCATTGGCTAAGTTTGGATTGTGATTGTTAGAATCACACAGTTTCACTTTGTTTCAAGTCTTTTTATTCTTGTAACACTTGAAAGCGTTCGTGTGGCCGTGCCCTTTCTAGATATTTAGTCTACTTAACATTAGACACATTACATTACATATTAGACTATTTGATTTTTCATTTCGATATGTGAATGGTCTATTTTTTTCTTTCAGCTGTAATCCCTAAAGTAAAAGAGCAAAGGATAAGTCACAACACTTGAGAACAGTGGTTGTTTGAGCTTTGCCTAAGGCTAAAAGGCAGGCCTGTGTTTTTCCAGCCACAGCCATGCCTTGGTTACTAACTATGAAAAGGAGACTGAGAGGATTATAACTGGCACACATTGACAGCTCGCCTCCTTCCACATAAATAGGGTGATCCATTAAGTAACAGCTATCCCCCCATAAGCCAGACTCATAAGACTTGTGCTTTATAATTTCCACTACTCATGTTAATCGCCAATTTGCTGCACAATGCAGATGGTATTTCAGTGGTATTTCAACCATGTAAAATGACAAAAGGAATTCTGTCATTTCCTGTGGCTTGCACTAAGTCTGTTCTCTTTGTGCTGTATTACGTTGACAGTAGAATAATAATGGTTTTTGTAACAGTGAATCTCAGATGTCCAGTGACGCTGGTTTTAAAATGTCATTAATTACTACCAGTTTTAATGTTGGCATGTTTGGCAGCAGCCTCGCGAAGACATTCACCTGTCTACCTCTTTTCCCTCAGGCTTCAGGAAAGAAGACGGAGTTCTGTGGTGGTCAGCTTGCCCGGATTGGATGTCTCACCAGGAGATCTTTTTGTATCCAATGGAGCAGCTGGCATATTAAGTGGTATAAACTTCTCTGGTAAAATTATGTGTCATACTATATCTTTATATTTTATGGTACTATTTCTCTCACTGTGAACCGGATCTTGCCATATGTCAACATATCACTAACCCTAAAGAGCAAAATGAACTATGATGTTTGTCTGTAACCCATTCTTGCGTGTTGTTATGGCAACATGTATGAATCATAGTTTGGTTTTGGTTGTGGCCCACTTTCCATAATGAACAGAGGCTGTAAGTTGTTGACTGCTTAGGATGTTTAAATAAACACATAAGGTCTAAGCCTGTAGTTGCTGTTGGTTCCATCAAAACCCTCAGTCAGTAGTTGAATTACTGTTCTGCACTGAGCTTTTATACTTGATGTCAGAATTTTGAATGCAAATGCAGTTATTCACATTTTAGTTTTCTTCAACAAGTCTGATTAATTTTTAAAAGATAATGTGCAACACGTCCATATTTGAAGCTAATTAGAGACTTTGAGAGACAGATAAATGGAATTGGCATTTAAACCCAGTTCAGTTTCTTTTGTGTGTTTAACCAGTCATATTTGTAATTCCTGTGAATTGGTTCCTCAAGTCCAGCAGTTTTTATCCTGTTCCCTGTATCCCTTGTTTGTTTGAATCTAATCCCATTTGTTGCACAGCACACATTTGCCCTTGGACCTTTTGTTAATAATCTACATTTTATGTTTGATTCTCACAGATACAAAGAAGTCAAAGTGGCCTTTTTCAAGGCGTAGTACGGTAGGTGTGTTGTTTGTCTGTTAGTGGTTGTTGTGTGGCTGCCAGTGTTATGCTTGTGGTTTGTATTGATGTACATGGTTTTAACTGTGAGCAGTTGGTTTGGACATTGTTCTCTGACCCACTTCTCAAAGCAGATTAATGTGGTTCCTCTTATCCCTTTTGGCCCACACAGACTTTGTAATTGGTCAACACTTGTGGAAGCAACAAATATGTTGGTTTGGTTTTGCAGAATGTGAGACTGTTAAAAATAACAAATCTGCAAATCCTTTCCTTTGATCAACACATGTCCACATCTGTTTTTTTCAAAATCATTGTAATGTCACTGCGTGTCTTTTCCTTCATCTTTCAGACTAAAGGGAAGTTGCAGACAGGCACAGTGTCAGATATTGAAAAATATCTCTCAACAGCACAGATTCAAGACTGGAGAGACACTGACCTTCAGAAGTATAAGGTGAGCAATGAGTACTGTCAGCTAAAGCCCTTAAGCACCTATGGTGTTTCTTATGTAAATCATCATGTTGGCTCTGTCTGGACAGGGACTTTTGATCCCAACAAAGTCAGAGGTTCAACAACTAACAGATCCAGATTTCCAGTTCAAATACATCTCAATGTTTAACTAGTGACTCCAAAATAACAGGACGGCAGGTAGAGGGAAGCTCCTGCGACGCTTAAATGACACATGTTGCGCAAGAACCAGAATTTCTAGGTCATAATGAATCAGGTCGACCCTGAACACGCACATAAACAAACACTGACATATGCTTCAGCGTATCAGGGTGGTGGTAGAAACTGAAATAGAATATAAAGTTATTATACAAACACACTTTCTGAGATGGTTGAGGAAGATACATTTTCCCTGTTTGTGTCTTAACAGTTTTTGCTTCCCTCAAAAGCAGTGATGTGTGTTTCCGTCCATCTGTGTGCAGGACTACTCTCTGGCAGAGTTCCTGCGGGACCAGTCTTCCCAGGTGAGCGTGGCCTCTGACCCTCAGGGCTTCAAGAGGCAAGAAGCCATCTGGGAGCTCTTCACCAGCGAGTGTTTCTACTTCCTGGATCAGCTCATGGTTCTCAAAGAGGTGACTCAAAATGGACACGCACATACAAACACACAAAAACAGACACGCGCAAGTCCACAAATAAATAGACCAAACCCAAATGAAATGCAACACCTGCTGCTTTGTGTTTTCTGTTCTCTCACTGAATTCCTGTCACTGAGGTTCATGTAAAAGTCTCTTTGGGATTTCCATTCTTTACAGCAGTGGATTAGAAATTTAATGCTGGCACAACAGATAGCCTGAGCCCATTCACTATCTGACTTCTTTTGTTGCTCTCAGGTGTTTTTGGCTACACTCACAAACCTGCAGATGAGGAACTGCCTGACTGATGTCGACTCCTGGAGACTGTTTGCAAACCTCAATGAGCTTTGCCTGGTACGACATGATGCAAATAAGTAGCACGAGGCCTGTTAGATTCATGTGTGTTATGCAAATAATTACAAACAACGGCAGCCTTCATGGCATTATAATAATACTGTTGTGTAGCAACAAATTAGCACAAGGGAGCTAATGTTAACTCTGTCTAACTTTTGAAAAAGTGTGCAAAATAAGAAGATGACAATAATTTATTGATTTGTTTAAACTTTATTTAACAAGGAAAGGATGGATGAGAGGAGAAATCTCTTTTTCAGAAGAGTCCTGGCCAAGATGGGGAGCAATAACAACAAATTACAGGCAAACAACAGATAGATAACAAAAAATAGAATACGACATAAAATCCGAATTTAACAGAAACATAATTAATGATATTTCTATTACCTCATACAAAAGACCTTACAATTACATTACTTACAACCTAAGTAGCTCCTTTAAAACAACCTAAAGAGAAGCTTAAAATAAATAAGACCAATCTAAACATTATATTACTGTAACTTAATACATGACATTCCTCATATTAGCACCCAAGATGAAACTGAGGCGATGAGTCTGTATCCATCTATTTATTTATTCATTCATTCATCCACGTGCACAGCTGTCCGCTCACCTCTCTAACCCTAACCCTTCTTTCATGTAATCGTCTTCTGCTGTTGAACTGAGAGTGAGTGAGGTATGACAGAGTGTCTTGTCTGTGGAGTGATACTTGACACTGAGTGTTCTCCGCTGCAGGTGAGCTTTGGTTTCCTGAACAACCTCCTCTGCGTCATCAAGGACACGTTGGAGATTACCGAGGGTGGCGGGCCCACCCTGCTGGAGCTGCTGAACAAGGCAAGTGTGACTCACATGTGGACACACACCGTCATACTGACTTTGACTGGAGTCATGTCAGTATGGAGCATTCAAGAATTTGTTCAGTTTCCAATAATCCATAATAATAATAATAATAATAACAATAGTGATAAAGATTGTTAGAATTACAGTACGATATGTCTTATTCATGCACACATCATATGATTTATGTGTTTTCGTATTGTATCTACACCATAAAAGCAGGTGACATTATATAGTGTGGTGGTTAATGTAATTTTGTGATGTAATTTTTGCAAAAGTAACATGACCATTATCTGTTGCTAGTTTCATGTCACACTACAGGAGCCTTTTCAGAATAAAATATGAATAATAAGAATTCATGTGGACTGGATCAGGTGTCCTTAAAGAGCTTTTTTCTGAAACTCTACAATCTGAGTTTAATATTTTGTTCTCTGACAATAAATACATTTTAGCTCCAGAGTTCAACAAAAAAGAAATCCCCTCAGGAAAATAATAAAAACCTCTTTGTCACACTGTTAAATTATGCATCACAAAAAGTAGAAGAGAGAAAAGCATTCATCTCTCAGTAGCTGGAGAACATATTTCACACGCAGGTTATGTTTTTGTGCTCGCTCTCAGATTGGCATCTTCTTGTTGCTTCTTTATGATCTGTTTATCTGCAGCCTAATGGCTGGTGTGAGCACACAGCAGTCTGAATCCCAGTGTTTGCATAACTCTCTGTTATCTGTTGGCAGGCTTTCCAGGAGAGCATATGTCACTGCCTGCAGAAGTACTGCCTCAACTACTCCACGGCTCTTCTTTATCTGGACAGCCTGAAGCCGAGAGAGGACTTTGGATCTTATGTGAAGGTACGGGAGGGAACTCAGTGGGGGCAGCTAAAGTGTGTGTGTGTGTGTGTGTGTGAGTGGTAGCAAGGGTGCTGTGTACCTTGACAACAAGGCAGGCAACGTGGTGTCAAGTATGAGAGAGGATGCACACCAACACCAACCAGTTCAGTGTCACCAAGGCTTGCCATGAGAGGAATGTGACCATTTGTCCCTCGTGTAACCTTCCCTGTCATCGTGCTTATGTATTTGTTAAGGCTTTTATTGTATTTGGGTCTTTTGATTCTTTTCTCTGCCCATCCCCCCCCACCACCCCCTCTGTTCCAACAAACAGCGTGACAAAGTCTTTCACCCCTCTGACCTTCCTCTTTTTTTCCAGCCCTGCTCTCACCCTGTCCTCTCTCTGTCTCCCCCCTTTTCTCCCAAGTGGTGTGAGAGGAACGAGCAGTGCCGGAGGCTGCAACTGCGTGACCTGTTGGTGGTGCCTCTGCAGAGGCTGACTAGATACCCGCTGTTGTTGCGGAATATCGCAAAGAGATATCAGACGGAGGACGAGACCAGAGGCCTGCAGGCTATAGCAGAGCAAGTGGACACGTCTATATGTGAGCAGCATGCACATCTTCACCTGAATTCTTTTCCTTTATAAAATGCATCACTACATAACAGAATATGCTCTTATTTTGTTATAACTGTCAAACAAAGCAACGCTGACTGACTTGTTGTGGGACTAGTTATATGACTGGAAGAACTTACCATAGATGTTCTCAGCTGCTGATGACAAACTGTGCTTTAAGTGTCAGATGTCTCAGCAGTGTCATGACTCAAGTGTTTCTTCAGAAGGGTGTTTGTCAGGAGGTGGTTTACAAACATATTCAGATACAAGAAGGATGTGAAGCAGGTGTAAGACAGTTTATCTCCATCAACACAAACACACCAGATTGTGTCTTTTAGAGCAAACAGGCTTTGTGCCTTGGACGGCCGCCAGCAGCCCTGACCGTTTATTCTTCACAGCATGCCTGTGCCTGCAGACCTGTTGTGGCGGTTTACTCTGTAACTAGATGGACAGGCTGTGGGAAATGTGCTACAACACTGCAACTCAACTCAATGTCATTCTGTTGTACTGAAGCCACAACTTCATGAAACCTAACAGCACAACCTCACAAAGGTGTAATAGCAACAATAGCAATTAAAAAGGTGTGTTGGAGCTGCAGAGGTGACGCCACCGCAGCCATGATGTGCAGGCCAATGTCCTCTGGGTGTGGGGGACATTTACTGTAAAAGCTGAGTGAGCTGTAAACTCTCACGATACCGTCACACCCATGTTTGGCAGGCAACCATCACTAGTGACAGATGATAAAGTAGTGTTTTATTAGCCATGGTCTCACACTGTAAAGAATAGTTCATCTGCTATTTAAAATAAAAGGTGTCATTATTGTGACTAACATATGTAATTATTCTTCAAGATAACTAACAATTTGTTCCTTACACTATGTCGCACTGGTTTTTACGCAGCACACTTCTTGTCTGTTTTTGTCCCTGTCGATTGAAACGCTCCCTCTCTTTTCCAGGTGATCTGGAGGGAAAGGTCAAATGGCTGGATAACTACCAGAAGGTGAAACAGCTGCGAGATGCCCTGGTGTGGCTGCCTGTGTGGGAGAGAGACAAGCGTGCCTTCGTCCCTGAGGTCTGTCTGGTTATGTGCGTTTATGTATATATTAATGTCTGCGTCTGCAAGAGCAAAGCATAAAACTCACAGATACGCACCAAACACTTCATCCTCCAATACCGTCTGTGTGCAGATAAGATGATCCAATCATTTATCTGGGTGTGGAATCAGATATTGCGTAAAGCAAAGAAAACTATTTCAGAGTATTCACGTTTTACGAAACAGCGTGTCATTAGCTGTTACTTTGGTATCGGTAATGCAGATCTTGTGTCAAAAGCTGAGACTTTTCCTCTCACCTGATTGACTGCTACTCTTTCAGAATCTGAAACATCTCCTAAAGGCTGTCACTCTGGAGAATCTCATTTCTCACAGAAGTCTGCTGCATGAAGGGAAACTGGTGCTCACAGGTGTGTACTGCTGGAACAAGTCCAACACATTTTACATGCTTGGTGTTTCAATTTGAACAGAACTGTAAACCGTCTTTCTTTGGTTCATCACCAGAGAACACCAAGCTGATAGATGTTTATCTGTTCCTGTTTGACGAATTCCTGCTGATCACAAAGATAAAGAGAAACAAGAAGGTACGTCGCCCTCTCGTCCTGTTCTCACTCATGTGGACCAACGAGAGATTTTCAGTATATTCAGTAACTACATAAGCCTAATAACCTGTTCACCTGGTGTCTCGTCTTCCTGTGTAGAGGTCCATCGGTCCAGAACAGAATCCTCTCAGGCCGCCACAGAACCTGGAGCTGGATCAGCTGCTGAAGGAGGGATGCACTTTCACGGTTCTCGACCAGCCCGTCTCTCTGGACCGACTCCAGCTCAAGAACATTGATCAGCTTAATGCCTCAAGTAATTATAACAGTACTAGTATCTCAGACAATGTTTCTTTTTGATTGGGCTTTAAGGACTGGATGTATTCTATAGTGAGAACACATTTTATAGTTCTCACTTACTGACACATCTGATTCTGTAATGATTAATAGTGCTTCTGTTTAATCAAAGATCAGAAAGTGGATATGTTTGATTTGAGCAGGACAGACCGCAGGATCATGGTCTCATCATAGCCAGTACTGTTTGATTATGTTATTTAATGGAGGAATTGTTATTCTGTGCTTTGTTTGCAGCATCGGGGCTTCCTCATTCTTTCATAATCATGCACCAGAACCGCTACCAGCAGTGTATCGGTGCATTCATCCTGCAAGCTGCGTCAGAGTCGGCCAAGGTAAATCAGTGCAGCTATGAGTTTCGGAGAAGTTTCAAAAGGCTTACAGTCCAATAAGAGCAGGCAGAGCACTGCCTGCATTCTGTTCAGAAAGATATTATATACATGCCGTGCATATGTGCAGCATCAAATGTGGATTGGTTAATTATATCCAAACATTTCTGCTTTGTAAACAGCAGCAACATGAGATTTCAGTTCAAATCTACAAAGAACCACAAAAATAACACTTTAACTGTATGTATTTCTAAAGGCAGTTTTGTATGTAAGTCACTTACATACGAATTTAGATGTACTCTGGATGCTCAGTTAATTATAGACACAGAATCTCATTGTAAATCTACCCAAAGTCTTATTCTATAAAAACGTGCTATATCTTGATATTGATATTTGCCATATCAGGTTAATGAATGTTATGAATATTACAGTCTAATTTCCATTAATTTCTCTATATGCTCATATCTTAAATAAATGGTTTACTTTCCATAAATAGAATCACTGGATTGGCATAATTTTAAGTTTTAGCAGTTTACTTACAGCTCCTATCAACACATTGAAGCAAATGAAGAAATGAAGAGCTATACAAATAAATATTCAATATCATCTGGGCAATCAATCCAAACAGCTGTTACCTAGTAAACTTGATGGTATCTGCTTCTGACACTTTCATGTGTGTTTTCCAGAGAGTGTGGATGTCAAAGATAGAGGGCGCTGTAATGGCGCTGCTGAAGCTGGACTCTCAGCAGCCGCGAGTCAAGAGCTCCTCACTGTGGCTGGAGTCTTCACAGATATGACCAATCAAACAGCACTAGAAGCCATCTGCAACATCTTTACTGTGCACTTCACTGTCCCCTGAAGTCCTGTGAATGACTGTACTGTTCTAGCACTAGGATCATTTTGTAAACTAAATGTTTGCCTGTAAAGGCAGCTGCTGCCATAGTGTACAATAAATGTCTGATTATGTAGTGAAGTTGTTCCTGAGTGTTTTTGGTTTTTAAGAGCACACATCACTTCATATACTTTCTAAAGCTTCTCTTCTGGTTTCCACCAGCACTCAGCCATCAGATATCGAGACATTCATGGTCTCCATAAAAAAAATCTCACCTTTAAGTTCACTTTCATTCATAACACATGATCATCATTAGCAGGTAGTTTTCCGTTTTCTCCATATGATGATTCCATATGACACCTGAACAGACTCCACCTGCTGTGATCATGTGATATGAGTGAGATGAGATTGTTTTCTACTTTAAACCTCAAATTTAAGATCTTGCTGGGTGAACAATTAATTGAAACATTTTTTTTTTACTCCAAAGAGATAAAGCTAATTTATTGATTTGTTTTAAAATACATTATTAATTTCTTAAACTGACAAACTTTAAATGGCTGTGAGAGCAATGTCGACAAAAACCTCACGCACAAAAATAGAAACATACTGTAGATTTTATTTAGGTTTGTCATGAAGATGAATTAGAAAATCAATGGGTGCATGTGAACATAAGTTACATTATTTCTCTTGTCCCTTCAGGTGAACTGAAGTCACCCCGACTGGTAATACACAGTGCACGTCACTGCTGACAGTGAGCAGTGACGCACAAAGATGTTGGCCTAAGGCACACCTTCACGACCACCAGATATGATGACTCTAAAACATGGAGAAAACGTGTGAGCCACAGGCCAGTTAAGTCATCATGCATGATAACTGAGCAACACGAAGCAAGCCACGATTCAGTGTGTATAGATCTGTGGTGCCATTTTGTAAAAATGAGTAAGACACTGATGAATCCACACACAGTTTCACTGTTGTCATGTTTCTACATCCACAAGTGTTATATATTTCCTTTTTCTCTTTCATTACAAACATTTACAAAGATAATTATGACAGACTTCGTATTAATGAGCAGTTAAGTACATCGGGGATAGAAATGCTGAAGCCTGTATAAAGTTGGTGGTCCTATGTTTGTGGCTGGGTTCTCATACAGAAGAGCCCAAAATACAATAAGGTGCAAATCATCTCTCTGGGTTTCAGTGACTGTACAACTTGATAGATCAAATCACAAATTCTTGATCAAATGCAGGCAATGATACAACATTTGTGAAGTCTAAGGTTTAGAAATAGTGCTTTTCCTGTGCCAATCTGAGGTAGACATAACAAAACCAATGCAACACAAAAAGAGACAGGTGTTTTTGAGAGTTTGCAACTGAGATGGACATTCTTTTGGAATAGGAATACAAGCATAAAGAACTAATTTGGTAAGCCTCTGTCTGAAACATGCTGCTTGTTGCAAAACGCCAGAACAGCCTGAATCCTCGCCTGGCTTACAGTGTTATCGCCTGCTCCAGTCTGTAGACAATTGCACAAAAAGATCTTACCAATATCTGTCAACAATTATAAATTAAAACAAAGCAGGAATTAACTTTTACAGTGTTCTCAGCTGCAGGCGGGCTGGACAGTAAACGCTGCACCTGAAAGCAGCACCAACGTCCCCGGACAACGCGAGGTTCTGAGCGGCCGACATTCGCAGCAGGTAAGCACAGCAGGCCTAGACACTAAAACATACACACACACACTCTGTTACAGCAACATCACACACAGCCCCAGTTATTGCTTCAAAGCAGAGCATGCGCACACACGCACACACACACACACACACACACACACACACACGCACACACACACACAGACAGACACACACACACTCACACTCACACACACACACAGCTTGAGCAGTAGTCAGTTGCTGTGGATGAGACAAGCAGCAGGAAAAAACATTTAAAAAATAAACATGCAGGCACCTTCGATGACTGCATCACCAGTCTGCAGAAAGCACCACTTTTTTTTTTAGAAATTAACACACAAAGAGAAATGTGGCACAGCAAAAACTGAGTGTACATTAAAAAAAAAAACCACCTGTCAGATCGTCCCACGTGCCACTGTGCACCGCTGTGTTCAAGATAAAAATGTCAGACCCTGTGATTTAAAACTCAGAGACGCTTAGAAAAAAATACTGAAATACGAAAACAAACTCAGGGCTTTCATCTGGCCTGTATTCCTGCTGCAGACATTCTTTGGTCATGAAATAGGCTGAACACATTAATTTCGACAAATTCACAAACACGCTGCCACACAAAGGAAACATGCAGTAACTTATTTAACGTCAAGTTACGTGCAGAAAAACGCTGGTGCATAAACTGACTGATGAAATGTTTTCTTTAAGGAAACAACAATATTCCTACTGTTGTTTCAGTTGTAGATTCATAAATCGAAAAAAAAAAAAAAATGCTCCATGAAAAATCTCAAGCTGTAATTATTTCCCTTTTACTGTTATAATATACAACACAATGTTAGCGAAAAGGACCTGGTGCTCTTTACCTATGTGAATTCACACAACACAATGCATAAATATGAAACCCTGTCCATAAACATCAAATTAAAGCAGCTGAACTAACAGGTTTTGGTAGCCTTGTTTTGGAGGAAATTAAGTGTTGACGGTTGAAAAACTACTTCAGAAACACCTTTCTGTTCAAAAGTAAAAATCTGCATTACACACATTAAATACAGTCTCTCAGTTAAATTGAAAAGTTTTACAAAAATATTTTTGTACTTGTTAAACTTTCTTGCTATAAAAATGAGAATTTCATTTATCTTAACTTTTTTTGTTTTCAGTTATTGATCAAATTGATGTATATATTGAGTTATACACAGAAAATATGTTACATTGGGCATTTACAGATATTGGTTTTGGACAAAATAGTTACCTGCATTTACCTTTGTAGGGCAGCAGTGATTTTCAACAGAACTATTACAATATTTACTTCCCCATTCGCTCCTGCAGTGTCAGACCGACCTTATACCTCCTGACAACAGACGTCACAATGCACAAAAGCAGCCACCTTGCAATTGCTAATGATGCCAAACAATGATGGAGATGTGAACAGGAACTTAAAGAAATGGATGGTGTTTAGTTCTCACTGTCTCCGCTCTCTGGCAGTCCACAGGAGTAGCAAAGGCACAGAAACAGATACAGACAATCCCAACCAGTCCCACCCCATCCCGTCACGTGACTCTGGCGTCTCTTCAGTTATTTCCCTCCGCACCAGAGCCACAAGTCACATGCAGGTGGGAGTCTTTGCACAGGGTCTGTCCTTTATAGTGCACATTAAATATGACAAAGACACGCCGCCTTCTGCCCACTGGAGTAGGAAAGGGAGGGAAAGAGCGGGGGGGGGGGGGGCTGGGTGGTCTTGGGGTTAGGTAAAGGGGTCAGAGGGAGATCAGCCTTGGAGCTCCTCGAAGCACGTCTCGCACACCCGTACTGGCTTTTTAGAAGATGGCGTGAGGGCGTTCCTCGACGAACACTCGGCGCAGAAAATGTTTCCACAATGTCTGCAGTGGTGCTGGAGGAGAGGAGGAGAGATAGAGGGCAGACACTCAATAATGACATATTACGTCCTGTTGCTTTTAAAAAAAACGCTTCAAGAAAACTTCATACTACCTTCCTGACAGTGACAGTGAAGCCTTTCCCACACGCCATGCAGTTCTGCACCTCGTGATCCTCGGCCCACTTCCTGGTCAGACTCTGTGACTGCTTGATCTAAAAGCACCAAAAGAGAACATCTAACTTAATTTGTGCAGTAACACAATGAAGCATTCGGAGACAAACTATTGACAACTGCTGTACATACTGCCCAGACGTATTTGTACCATAGTGCTTAACAACAACACATCTGGTGTTTTGCGACTGACCTGGAGCGACTGGTTCTCTCTGCCCAGCTCCTGCATGGCTGCTGTCGTATCGTCCAGCTTCCTCCTCAGCTCCACCACCTTGGCCTGCAGCTTCTCTATCTCACCCTCACCCTTCACACACCTGGAACACAACCGCAGAGCAATGATGATTTGTGTGGGCTCATCTTAATTAGTGGCCCAGGAGAATTTCCTACCACCATTACTTTGACTTGCTGCGGAATAGGTCTGTTAATTAATACTTTCAGGAGCACAGTTCTTTGGGGAATGATAATGATAATGATAATGATGATGATGATGTCCTCTGGGTAATTTCTATTTACCAAAGCTCTGTGCTACCAAGGCACTCTGTTGTTAAGGTGTTTTTGCCTCATTTCAATTCAATTTTGTCTAATCACATTACACCCATTCACTTAAGCATGAAGCACATTACTTAAAACAAATTAATATTCAGTGAATGAAAGTGAATGCATGTTTTCATAGGTAACTTTTTTTTCTATTAAAAGCTGAGATAAGAGGAGCTAAGACCAAAACTAAACACACCGGTACTGTAAGGAGTTACACACCACTCTGATAGTTACTGCACATGAACAGGGTGGAGTTTCCACAGCACAGGTGTGTCAGCAGTTATCCACATTCAGTGGAAATGAGGTGCTTTTAACTTTCACAGTATGCACACAAACAACAGGCTTCATTCAATGCAGCCTTCTTCTAATCAGTTTTTCCCTGTGAATCTCATCTGTGGGAAATCTAACACTCAGCTAAATACAGCCTTGTGTAATGCAGTAGCGCAGTCAATGCAGATTAAAAAAAAAGTAATTCCCTGTATCTGGAGGATCATAGCAGGATTTAGTTACAGCAAATACAAAAGGGACATATTTAGACGTGAACCTGCTGACTCATATTCGGTGTCTGTTCATTTCGCACACGCGCGTGTCTGTGTGTGTGTGTGTGTGTGTGTGTGTGTGTGTGTGTGTGTGTGTGTGTGTGTGTGTGTGTGTGTGTGGTAGATTCAACAGCATTGATATGTCTAATATATGATGCATTTCATGTTTAATTATCATTTCTCATGCACATGGAAATGAAGTTCTTTAAAAATTAAGATTGTAAATGAGTGAATTCAAAATTGTCTGAGAGATGTGGGCAAAACTTCCCGTTCAACAGCTCAGGGTGATAGTGTTATAATGTAGTCTTGTAATAGAGAGGGTTTTTTTTATCAATGTGTTAACCGGAATTAATTTGACAGAGCCTTATTGTTTTTTTCTTTCTTTCTTTCTTGGAACTGAGGGCGGGTACTTGTTTTAGAGGAATGTGTTAGATTCACTGGAAAACCTCGCTCTTCAAAAAGCTCAATATAACATCTTCGTCGACTGTGGCGGCATACACTGGATGTGGATCATTTCAGTAACGTGACTGTGACCCAGTGGAAGCAGTTGTGCAGCAGAAATCTGACAATGGAAAACTTTGCTTACTCATCTTTTGAATTAACCTTTAAGGAGCTGACTCAAGTCACAAACTCAGACAGCGGGAATTAAAGCGCTCCCTTTTTAACAGCTGCTTGCTACTCACCATACACTTCAGTGAGCACAGTCGAGCACATTCAAAAACCTCATTAGGCTTATTGTATATTTTAAAGACAAAGAGTCATTATCTGCAAGGTGACATGTTAGTCAAATGAAAAAATATCAACGCACCTTTCCAAAAGAGCCCGTCTCTCGTCCTGGTTATTCTGCACGGTGGCCTCCAGCACGGCGATCTCTCCTCTCAGCTCATCCGTCTGCTTCTCCAGCTCACCGACTCTCCGCTGGCTGCCCTGCCACTCTCTCTTCAGCGTGGCTACATTTTCATTCAGAGCCGTCACCTGCACGCCCAGCTTAGCTTCTGCCTCCTCTCTGAGCTTCACCTGCTCCTCTCTGGCTCGCTTCTCTGCCGCCTTTAGAAGGATACATTGATCATATCACAAAAAAAAAAAAAAACCAAGAATCATGAGGGGAGTGAATGACATCTCGTCTGCTCATTTTAACTAAATTTGGTGAGTGAGCCTACCAGCTGATCCTGGGCATCCTTGGTCTGGCCGAGGAGCTGTTCCTCTCTCTGGCTCCTGCTGTCCCTGGTGGCCTGGTGCTCTTTCTGCTCTTTGTCTAGGTCACCCTGCGCCGCCTCCACCTGACCCTGTAACTCCAGTTTCTGCTGGATCAACAGCTGTTTGGCCTCCCGCAACTCACCCAGCTCCTGAAAAGCCACAGAAAAAGTTAGTGCTTGGTTTGGTACTCTTAGTAAGGAAGCAGTATCTCACATATGAAAATGACATTGCAGATTTTAAACAGCTCGAGCAGGTTTGAGCTTGGGAAGTTATTGCTCTGACAATAGCTTCAGATCAATTTTAAGACAACTTTGAAGAACTGAAAAATCCAGGCTTATGTCAAATTGCCAACTCAAGCATGCTCAGTTATACCTTTGAAGAATGTGGCCCTGATGACCTGCAGTCACCCTGAGTTAAGCTGTTTATGTAAGATACAAGCATGGGAAGCAGGCCATGTCAGTGTGAGACAGAAAATGGTGGTCATTGTCTACATCAGCCCAGTCTTTAACAGTAGCACTATTAAAGATTTCTGTTTGGATTTAGGTCTCAGTTTCTTCTTCCTCAAATGAGAAAAAAAAAGAAGACACTGACCTTCTCACTCCTCTCTGTTAGTGCTTTTAACTCGGAAGTTAATTTGCTGTTATTCCTTTCCAGGACAGTCTTGGCTTTGTTCAGCTCCTCCACTTTGCTCTTCTCCTTCTCCAGCTCCTCCTTCACTTGATTCTGGGTGAGCAGGTACAATTTATTCAGAATATATTAACTTAATCAGATTAAGTTGAGTGTGTATGTGTGTTAATCCGTTTGTCTGACCTCTTGCTTCTGCAGCTCCTTCAGTGTTTGTTCCTGCTGGTGGTGCTTCTGGTTCTGTTTGGCGAGCTCCTGCTCCAACGAGCCGCGGCTCGTCTTCAGTTCCTGGATCTGAGCTTCTAAACCAGTCTGATGGGTTCGGTTAGCAGCCAGCTCCTCCTGGGCTAAGCTCAGCTTCTCCTCTGATGCCTACAGTCAGAGGAAGGTCAGAAGTCGCTTACTTAGGTTTGGTGAGGAGAGAAATCATTAAAACCAGAAGTGACCTTGTGAGAGCTGCTCAGAAGAATTAGTTCAAATAGATGTCTGTGAATTCAACATTTAACATCCTCATCAAATCAAGCCATTACCAGTCTCTAGCTCCTCCAACCCTTCGTGCATTAACGTACCTTGAGGTCTTGACGCACTGCAGAAACCTCAGACTCTTTGCCGTAGAAGTCAGACTGAAGCTTAGTGAGACTTTCCTGACTTTGCTCCAAGGCCTTGTGCAGCTCTGCTGTCCGGCTCTTTTCAGTGGCCAGCTCCTGGCCGAGCCCTGACACCTGATCTTTCAGCTTACTCTCCTCCTCTGCCTGGAGATACGAGTCAAATACACACATTTCTAAACATATACACAGATAATCATTACACAACTTCTTTCACAACAAACCTGTGGAAAATAGTTAATATCAGTCCTTTAAAAAGATAGGCACAGCAGCTATGTGGTCAGGTATGTTAACAGTTGTCCACAGGATAGAAAAGGCTTCTTACCTTCTTGACATTGACTTCCTGTAACTCTGTCACTTGACCCTTCAGTTTCTTGATCTCCCCTTCAAAGGACCCCTGGGCTGTCTTCAATTGTGCCCGCACTTTCTCCAACTCATTCTCCTTTACCTTCAGTGCCTCCTGAGTCTTGGAGTGCTGCTGCTCTAATGAGGTCAGCTGCCCTTTCAGCTTTTTCTCTGCCTAATAATTTATAGACACAGAATAGTGCTTAAGCTGTTAGGTTCAAAACAATAATGCTTGATCTTTCTTTTTTTTTTTTTTTTTTTAGACGTTTACCTCTCTCATCTGCTCCAGCTGCTCTTTAGATTCTTTCGCTGCCTTGGTGATGGTCTCATTATTCTTCAGAAGCTCCTGCCGCGACTTCTCATTGGATTTTTCCTGAGGATTGAGACGGATTAATGTTGTGAATGTCCTGATGTTGTAAATAGGTGTCTTTGTGCTATTCCTTGTTGCGAGTTGAAAAATGGAACAGTAATATTGAATTTGCCTGAGCTTTGTTTGGTTTGTCGCCGTCTGCAGATTAATGAGCCTACCTTCTCCTCCATGGCTGACTTGTGGCTCTTCCTCTCTGCGTCCAATTGACTCTGACTCTCTTTCAGTGCCTTCGTAGCATTTCCTAGGCTCTCCTGAGTAGAAACAAGCTCCTTCCTCTGAGCCTCTTTCTCCTGTTGGGCTTTCTTCAGGTCTGCTGCCAGACTCTGAGCTTTCCTGTCCAGCTCTGCATGCTGAGTCTTTCCCTCCTGGGTCACCTTGTCCAGGTTCACCTTAAGAGCAGCTTTATCCTGCTCGCAGCGCTCCAGCTGCTGTTGGGTGTCACTCAAAGCAGCTGCCTTTTTCTTTAACTCCTCTTGTAGTGTTGAAGCCCTTAACAGTGAAACAACATGTATGATGCATTTGGAGTAATTTATTAAAATACTGTCAAATAAACAAAAAAATCACTTCAATGCATGAATTACATACAGAATTTATCAAAACCAGTGCACTAGAACACATTTTCTCACCCTGTTTTCTCTGTGTCCAGCGAGCGCTGCAGCTCTTTAGCTTTCCGCTTAACCTCTGACCCTTCCTTCTGCAGCTTCTGTACTTCCTGCTGCGCCTGATCTCGTGTGGCCTGCAGCTCCACAACCTGTGACTCCAATTTCTGTCAATTTAACACACCAGATTCAGTTTCAGGCATTAGAAACAAGAAGAACAATCAAACCTAAACACCTACAAGATGATCACACAGTGTACACAGGGTTGTGCAGTCATCGTGCTCTTGGGAGTCCCATATCAGGCACTCACTATAAAGACTCAACACAAACCTTATTGAGCCCCTCCAGCTGCTCTACACGCTGCTCTGAGGCCAGTAGTTTGTCTTTGCATTCCTTCAGACCGGTTTCCAGCTGCGTACACTGCTCCTGTCTCTCTTTGAGCCTTTGGGCCTTCTCCTCCATCTTCTTCTGAACTTTATTCAGCTCCTACACAAGGCGGCAAGAGAGGGTGGAGGATAAAAGTGATATATAAGTTAGGAGTGAAAGGGAGAACACAGCACAGAGAAGTTAAGGAGTGAGTTAAGAGAAGGAATGAAAGAAATATGGTATATCACACAGGACACTAAAGTGCTCATTAGTTGCACATAGAGGAGGCTCACCTGCTGCTTGTCCTGCAGTGCATGCTGGGCAGTCTCCAGGTTGTTCTCCAGGTTGGCCTTCTGTGCAGCTTTGGCTGCCTCTGCAGAGAGCAACATCTCTGTCTTTGCCTTTAGCTGCAGGAAAACAGTCCAACAAAAACTGTTACTCTCACCATCAAAAAAATTAACCAGCTCTTCTAATCAGTCCACTATATACATTTATACATTTTTAACATGTATTACACAAACATGGTCAGTTAGAGGCTTACCTGAGAGTCCAGCTGAGATACTTTCTCCTTGCTGTCTGTGAGCTGGGCAGTGAGCTCAGTGACTGAGGTCTCTAGGGTGTGGGCTCGGTCTTGAGCCGAACGCAACAGAGTCTTCTGCTCCTGGACCTGCTCATGTAGGTTATCCTGGGCTTGCTTGTTGCTCTCCGACTGGTTTTTCAGCTTGTCAGTCAACTGTGTCACCTTTAAGATCCACATATACAGAAAAGGTTTAAGGCTCAAAAATGAGCAATTATACCTTGTGACTACTGAGGTAGACGAGTGGTCTTTCTAATTCATGTCAGTTAACTAGCTGTGACAGTACATTCTCAGTTGTGTGGGGGGTTGGCATGTGTCTTTTGTCGTGCCACTTTTACACCACAGAGAATTGACTGCATGTGTGTCTGTGATTTCATCCACCTGTTCTTGTAGTGCGTGGTTTTTCTCTTTTAGCTGGTTAAGAACCGCCGTCTCTCCCTCCCCAGCCTGGATCTTGGCACATAAGTCCTCTCTCTCGGCTTCCAGCTGACTCACAATGTCTTTACTCTTCTGCAGCAGAGCCTCCAGATTCTGGATCTTCTGGTCCTTATCCCCAATCTGGCGCAACACCTGCTCCAGGTCATTCTACAGAATAAAGATAAGCCAACGTAGGAGAGAGGTTACAGCAGATTTTTTTGGCTGTCTTCTTGTCAGTTTTATTTATTTATTTCTTGTCAGGGTTTTTATGTTGTGTTTGAGGTGTACTGTTAACACGGGCATACTGCACCAGCTTCTTTCCTCTAAAGCTTTGACACACAGAAGAAGGAGCTAAATAACTTTCTACAAGACTTTGTTACACATTATTCCAAGTAAAAACTCAGGCTTTACGCTTACCACTAACGTTATCACTGCCTCAGATGTGAGGGTTTTTCTTGTGAACAGTACCTGTGCCTCGCGGAGTTTGCCGTTGGTGTTTTGCTGCAGCGCCTGCAGCTCCTGGTGCTGCTGCTTGGCTTTCTCCAACTGGTGCTGCAGGTCTGTGTTCTTACTGGCCCCCTCCTTCAACTGAAAATGAAAACCACAATTGTTTTTTTGAACCACAAAGGCATTGTTGATTTCACAATCATTTTGTGAACTTTACCACTTCTGTATTATCACACTACAACAGTTTTACAAATCTCATCTGCACAGATCATTGATTCCCCTTTAGTTTCTCAGTCTTAGCCAAATACTGTAAATAAACCTAAACTACATTGTGCATTATAATACAAGTATCTTACAGTGTACATTATATCCTATCCGGCACACCTGAACATCAGATGTTCAGACTGTTCCATTGAATTAATTCAGTTTCCCTGCAGCAATCATTAAAGTTTCATCTGATGCATACCTGCTCTTCTGCACGGGAGAGTTTGAGCTGCAGGTCGGCTGCTTGCTGCTCACGGTCTTTCAGTTTCTCCCCAGACAGTTGCCTCTGTTCTTTCAGACGACCTTGCACCTCCCCCAGCTGCCTCTCTGCCTCCAGCAGTTTGGCGTGCAGCTAGGAAGGGCACAGAGAGAGAGGTGACGATTAAGATGGAGAGTAGATGATTACAAATGGCAAGAAATACAGTAGAGACTTTAATGAAGAAGGTGGATGTCTGGAATACTCAAATTTATTAACATTATTGTATGACACTTGTTCATCAGTTATTAGTGATTTCTTCCTTTGTTATTTTGAATGTTTTTTCTGCTTCATCCTAAACTTATTTTATCGAGCCTCTGCCTTTGTGTTCTATGGACATATTTTTTTCATGGGAGAAAAACTACTAGGCTTTGAAATATACTGAGCAGAGTCAGGACTGTGGTTTTTGGCTTGTTGCTTTACAGAGATGTAAACGGCGCTTCAGGATGTGCAGATTCTGTTTGACTGTTTTGGCAATGTACTGTAAATCCTGTTGAGCTGAGTAAAGCATCTTCAACTGAAACTTTTAGGCAAACATCAAAATCCTTTATGAATCATTTGATGTTGCACTGTGTGCAGTGATGTGTGTGTGTGTGTGTGTGTTGTGTGTGTGTGTGTCTCCTTTGAAAGTTACACTCACCTGACTGATCTCTGTCTGCTGCTGTGCACCTTGGCTCTCTTTTTCTTCCCTTTGCTGTTCCAGCTGTTTCCTCTCAACCTTCAGCTCTGCATGCTTCACCTCCAGCTCGCCAATCTCACTCTTCAGCTTTGCCACCTCCTCAGTCCTCTCTCCGAGCTCCGTGTGGGTCTTCTGCAGGGAGGCCTCAGCCCCTGTGGCCCGAGCCTGGAGCTCTTGGACCTCCACCTCTCTCTCCTTCAGGCTGTCTTGGACTCCCTTCTTTGCAGCTTTCTCAGCTCCCAGACTCTCCTCCAGTTCCTGATACTCCTTCTCCTTACGTGCCAGCTTTTCAGACAGGCTCTGTGAGGATAGGAAATGACAAGACAACATGGGTCAGATGAACACTAGTTGTCCAGAGGTGTGGGAGTAATTGAAGTGAAAGATGCCCCTGAATAGACATGAAAGCCACGAAACAAATAACAAAAAGAAAACAATAAAGTGAAATTAAATACATTTTTCTCTACACAATTTTAAAAGAATTGTTTTCCAAAGTTTCAAGAGGGAGAAGGGTCTCGTGAAAAAGGATAAAGATCGACAGCATTTGAAAAATTCTTCAAGAATTATGAGTCATTAATTAAGCCATAGTGGAACATGAACCATTTGTCTTTTCTAAATTAAAATTAGCGTGATAGAAGCTGCAACAAAGCACGAACACCCGCGCACCCTGTGATATAAGCTACGGAAAAGAACAGTCGCCTGTTGAGAGTCAAGAATAAAGTGAGGTATGGCATTTCTAGGGGAAGGTTTACAACAGAGGACTTGGAATACTGTGGCATGTGTACAGTACTTGCCCTGTCGTGAGCACTGGCAGTAAACTTGGCAACAAGGTGATAAAGAAAAATATGTTGTTAATAGTGGGGCGTGCTGCTAACTAGGGACTGTGACAGGGCACCTGGACTTCATAGACGTCCAATAAACCTCTGCAGGCCACCGCAGCAGCTGGCCAACATTTACAACCCGCTCTAGAGACTTTGATTTTCCCCTCCTCTTTTGTTCATCCCTCTGCCTAGCCTTGTCGTCGTCCTTCTCGTGTCATTGTCACAGCCCCTCGCTGCTGCCCTTTAATCCTGGAGTTACAGACCATTTGTTGTTCACCTGTCTGTTCTTAGTCCTGATCCTCTGTGTCTCACTGTATGTTCCATCACTTTTGTCTGTATTTGCATGAGATAAGTATCTGTATCAGGTCTCAGGGTATCCTGCTGTGAGGAGAGGCATGGGGTGGGGACATCGCACTGGAGATCCAGTCCTGTAATCCCTCTCTTACCCGGGAACCCACTTAGCTGCAAGGACACTGACGTGCCTGATGTGGGAGGATTTCATCTCTGGCAGGAAGCCTGTGCCTCTGTTCCCCCAGTTCCCGTTGTACCAGTGTTGTTACTTGTATTTGTATTTCACCCCAAGTGACAGAGCTGGCATGACAGACACCCCCCCCTGCTGGTTTAATTATAGAGCTGCGTGTGATTTCTATCAACATGTCTGGTGACAGCTGGGCACTGTGATCAGGTCTGATGTTGAGCAACACAGGAAAGTTTACAGAAAGTGAGGCAGTGTGCTCTGTTCCTGGGGGGCAGCTGGCGAAGCTTGTTAACATTTCTGAAGTAAAAGTAAATCCTACACAATCTTATATTGTGTAACAGATGGCAGACATGTTAGTGCCTGTAGTAATCTCTTGAGAATTATAAAACTGTCATATGACTGTAATAATTGTAGCTGTTTGGTTCTGCTGGTGTGTGTGTGTGTGTGTGTGTGTGTGTGTGTGTGTGTGTGTGTGTGTGTGTGTGTGTGTGTGTTACCTGGCTTTGCTGCTGCAAATTATTCAGATTGCTCTGCAGCTCATGGATCTGTTGGGTGTAGACGGCTGCTTCTTGTGGACCCTTCTCCAGCTCTGCTTTTAGTTGGGATATGGTCAACTGCAATACAACAGACGGGCACATAAGACTCTGTTTGCAGGGAATTTTAGTGTTGAGGAATCAAGGAATGGAAGCATCACCGTGAAGGACTGACAGAAGAAAAAAAATCAAATTAAAAAGAAACGGTATGAATTAGTAACAACCAGGCCTGACTCACACAAAAACATAAAGAGTTAACACACTGTTAAAAAAAATAAATAAATAAAAATCTCTGAAAAACCTTTCAAACTTAAGTGAAACTCAAAAAGATGAAAGTAAATTTGGGGCCAACTTGAAACGGCGTGTTTTACCTCCAGTTTACGAATCTTGAAGAAAGAGTAAGTGTTGGAGAGGGATACATTATGTGCGAAGCAGAAGAAGGGGAAGGGAAGAGAGACACGGAAAAAGGTAAGTCACCATATACCAGCAAGAGGCGAGTCTGTAACACAGAGCTGCTGGGCTCTCATTCTGGGATCAAAAATGCAGTAAATCAGGCTGAATTATTCACCACACATTAATTAATAAGAATTAGGCACAGAACCATCTGATATGACATAACTACAGTACCTCCAAACTATTTCATAAGTTGTTGTTTAACAGCTAATTTGAATAAGAATCTAAAGATCAGTTCTTTTCAAAAAAGTGCAGTGGGTTTCCTGAGAAAACGATGGGTGAAAAGGAAGTGGGGTAACATTAGAACTGAACTTAAAATATATTTCACTTCAGCACAATAATATTGTAGATGATTATATCAACAGTGGGAAACAATGTTCATGTTTGTGTGTTTGTCAAACGTTAAATGAGTGGCAGCTTATGTTGCAACACACTGGGACATTGTAATAGTTCAGATTCATCAGAACTATATTTGCTCTTCAAGACATGACTTGATTTGCCCTCCTCACCTCTGAGGTAGTGTAATTAGCCTTCAGTTGCTCGTAGTGGTTTTTCAGGCGTTCAGACTCCTCCTCCCTCTCACACGTCATACGGTCCATTAGCGTCTGCACCTGCACCAGTTCCTTCTGCAGGACCTCCACGTCCTCCACTCCTGGTCGCTGCAGCTAGGGGGCAGAACAGAGGCACTGTGTTGAGGACATGGAGACTGGGTGGCAAAAAGTTGAGCAAAAGCTGTTATGGTATCAAGATAAATCAAAAGTCAGTGTCCTTAGAAATGGCTGCTCAGGTGTATGTAGAAACCTCAATACAGATTTGGGCAATGGCAGCAATGTGGTGCTCTACCTCCATCACAATAAATCCAAGTCTGTTTTAACATAGAGTAAAACAGGAGATGTTAACTGGCGGTGCTGTCTCTGTTTAAAGTTTCAGTATGAAGCTTATATTTTGTGTGAAGCCTTTTTAAAATACTCTGAATAGTTAAGAACATTTCAGACCAGATAACAGGTCAGTGTGCCTAATTACAGTATGTACTTAAATGCAACCCACAAAGCTCTAGTTTTAAGTACGCTTTAGCTTTTTTCATATAAATTCTTTGGGTAAAGTTCTGTTTCTCATTTCTTTAACAACGATGAAGGGATCTGTCTGGATAGGAGCTGTATCGACTCTTCAGGCACACAGCTCAGAGTCAAGCTGATTTCATGGTGTCGTTCCAACGTTATTCTCTCCAACTCCAAAGCACAACATTCATGGATCAAACTACAAAGTATGTCTCTCAAGCCTTGTGAGAAGAGAAAAAGAACCAATAGAAACTTAAGTCTGTGTTGTACCAGCTCAGTTTGGAGTCTCTCATTCTCCTGCTTTTCTTTCTGCAGTTGTTCGGTCACTTTGGCTAGCCTCTGGTCAGCAGCCTCCCTCAGGCTCTTCTCCTCATCATAGCGGGACTTTAAGTCTGTCGGATTCAACGATTAAAAAAAAATCCCATTTAATAATATTCTAATCAAAACCACACATATACCTCAATCGTCATCAAATGTATCCAAACTTAATCTTATGCAGGACTGGGTAAAACACAATCGGAGGATTGAGTTTAAAAGTGGTCTGGCAAAAGAGAACTTCAGTGTTGTTAAATGACGCAGACACAGGCCTTCCAGTGTCATGGCCCAACACTAACCTACTATCTCTGTGGCTAGCTGGGCAGCCTTCTGCTCAAACAGGTCTTTCATCTGCTTGATATTGAACTTTTCTGTCTCTGCTTCATTCAACTTCCTTTCAAGGACTGAGGAAAAAAAGCACCACATATTAGTGACTGACATTTTTATATCTTTGTCACAGGTATATCTAAATATAATGTAACCGACCTGAGTCCTCTGAGCCCATCGGTCCATCGTTCTGTGAAAACCAAGGAAAGAGAGGAGCATAGGGCACAGTAAGAGTAAGCATCGCCATCATGTTTTATTAAGCAGTTCTATATTTAGAGAGCCAACTCTTCTTGAATAGTGTTAAATATCTTGAAGGAATTACTTGCTTCAGTTGTCCTTGGACTTTGTCTAATTCCTTTTTGAGCTCACCAGAGAACCATCTTTCCTCCTAATAGATGAATGAACACACACACACACACACACACACAGTCAAGTCTTAGTGTTAACTGACCATTTATACACATCTGTAACAGCCACAGTTCAGATACTCAACCATACCTTGAGAGAAGCATGAAGGTCCTGAACCTCTTGCCGCAGCATTGTAAGGTCTTCCCTAAAAGGAGGAAAGAGTGCATTAACAAAAACACACAAAGTAAAATTCTGTCGAGAGCACGATGAGGTGAGACTCTGTCATAATTTATGCATTTATGCAATTCATACATTAATATCAGTCTCACCGAGTGGGGGCCACATGAGCAGGGAGGTCTCCGGTATCATGGAACAGCTCATAGTGCTTGAACAGCTCCTCTGCAGAGTTGTGAGACTTCATGCACTGAGGACAGATGAAGCCCTGAACACAGAAACACACCATCAGAATCAACCAGGTGACAGTAATTTATCAGACAGCTTCAATTCTGCACCTCTTCTTGCAGGGTAGAAAAAAGTTCAAGTTATCAAAACAAAAATACAAAATCAAACATCCATGTTACCTCAGATGTCTGATCATGGTTGAGGTCTGTGCTGGGCTGCTCTGACTCTGCATTCTGGGAGCCACCTTTCCCAGGAGTCTGGAGAGTAGAAAATAGATTTGATTGGTCTGAATGTATGTAGATACATACCATCAGTGCAGTGTGTGTGTGTCTGTGTGTGTGTGTGTGTGTGTGTGTGTGTGTGTGTGTGTGTGTGTGTGTGAAATGACCTGATTGCTTGCCAATGCCAATTTTTGCAACTGGGTTTATGTTGGATCAAGTGAACAATATGTAATTTTGGAGAAACGTGGGACTACTCAGAAAAGGTCTCATGAACAACTATGCTGGGTGCGACTTATGAGACCTTTGCTCTAACCTGTAACTCTGTTCTATACTCCTTTTGAAAGCATGTTTATTTAAGACAGTTGTGTCATAACAACAGTATGTGGGGGTACAAGTTCATTTGGTTGCTGTATACTGTCTATAAAAAAATCATCTTCTATCAAATTGCAATTCAGTTGCAACTGCTAGGTTGCTCTGTAGTTTACCATGTTTACTTTTCTCTATACCTTCACAACCATTTCAGGACCTCCAGCAAGGAAGCATCCCCACGGAATGATTCGGCCTCCACCATGCTATATGGTATGGATGGTGTGGGACTTGAGATGTGCAGTGCATGGCTTACACCAAATTCAGCATTTAGTATGATGACCAAAAACCTCAATCTTGATCTCATCAGACCCCACAACCTTGTTTCACTTTGTTTCAGAGCATCCTGCAATGTCTGGCAAACAGCAGCCTAGATGTCATATGTGTCTTTTTTCAGCAGCCAAAAAGCTGCAACTGGTGAAGCACCCAGGCAAAAGTATGCAGTCCGATCGTGCATGGTTTACAGCTGTACCATATCTTTTTCCATTTTATATAACTGACTTTATGACAGGGATATTCACTGCCTTTCAACATGTATGTGTCCTTGACCTTACTTCTCTCCCATGTTACTTTTAAATAAACTTGTTTCTTATATATTTAAAGAGTCCCTAGAGTTTTAGTAAACAAAATGACTAACAAGCTGTTAGACCAGGTTGGCCAGGTTATATTAAACAACACACCCAGGCATTGCAAGGGAGAAAGAACAAGAAAGAACAACTCTCTATATAGCTAAGAGGAAGGTTGGAATATGGTCACTGGAAAACAGCTCAGTCTGCTGGCCTGAAGCACAAACACATGAGTGGATGTACCATTGGTGATCCATTCACAAAAAGGGTTTGTTTGGGCTGGTTATCTTCTGCATGAATGAACAAGGTCAGAATATGTGTGTGTCTGTGTGTGTGTTGTGGTGGGAGGGGGACTTGTAGCACTTTGAACCAGGCACCTCAGAGCCTATTGGAGGGTTAACAAACACCACTTTGAAGACAGGCTGAACTGAATGTTTACGTCATGGAACAAACGCTGACCTAACTCAAACCTGCTACATACATAAACCAGCACTGACTCTACCAAAATAAAAATATTATTTCTAAAACAAGCCAACACTATAGAACATTTACTTCAACACAGGCCCGTTACATAAATGAGAACTTTACTCAATTCAGGGATTTATTATACTGTCTTGAAATAATCTACCTGCCAATACCATTAAGCCTAAATTGTAGAACACACTGAAATCTCCTTCATCAGTACTGTAAAAACAAGCAAATATTGGTCAAAGGTGAGGAAATGATACCGTATTAAAATGGACTGTCAGCATTATCTTGGCAATGTGGTCTACAGCTTGAGGAGGTTTTGAGCCCATGAATGACTCATCTGTCATACCACATTGTACACCAAGTCAGTGGCTCCCAAGCTGTTTTATATAGACGGCAGATGTGCATTAGAAAATGGAGCCTGTTTAAATCAGGGTGTTTCCTACAAGCCCGTGATAATATCTGTGTTGTTTACTACATGGTGTGAGCAATTAATTTAACAAGCTACTGTACTGGTCGGTATAGCTTTATGTAAAGAGGTAACGGATCAAAGCGGCAATTCCACCCACAAAATGTTTTACTTTCGCTTTATCTTCCTAAACGTTTGCAATCAAATCCCTTATAGGTAACGGGTCCAAGTCTGTCAATTCCTGACCTAAATGCAAAGTGTTCAGAGATGGATTTTCCTGGTTACCAGGCCGAGACTTCAAAGTGTACACTATGACGCAGCTAGCAACGCACTGTGGGAAATGCAGTCCTGAGTAGAAGCTAACATAGTAGCTAACCACTCTTACTACCACTTGTAACGTTAGTGACAAGCTGATAATTTATCCAAACAACCATGTAGCTATTAATATTAGTACAAGCCTACTAAATTAAAACGCTTGTTTTTCACATGTTGCGGTCAGCCAGCTGACACAGGACTTCCCCATACTCCATCTGAGGCTAACGTCAGCGTTAGCATGTGATGACTGGACGATGAATTAACCTACCGCTATAACACAGCTAGCTAACGGAAACCACGAAAATAAAACGATTCAGTGACCAAGGTCTTCAGCTAGCTAACTTATCGTTTACTCGGCTAACCCTGACAATGTGGACACGTTAACTTATGGATTCACTAATGCGTTATATACACAGCTTGCTACATCCCCTGCCAAGGGTAGCATCAATCAAACGTACCAAGTTAGCATTTGGTGGCTAACTGTGTCAACCCCACGTAAGGAGCGCTTGATATGTTCACTACGATCTGACGGGGTAGCGGGACTTTAACTCCCGTTGGTTAAAACTAAGAACCCCGCCCACCCGCGACACGCTGTGCTTTAAAACGCGCATTCCCACCATGAAAACAGACAAGGATAGGCCCCGTGTCTCCCAAGGAAAAAGACTCGGTTTGACCAAACAAAAGCGATATGGTTGACTTTGTTGCCCCAGAAGCTTACCATTTGGAGTATCCGTCTGAGCATGGCCTCGACTGTGTTTGTCCGAACACAAAATCCAATCAGTTTTCCAAAAGCAAAACCTACGTAGCTGTACAACGAACACCTGACCAAGCTCAGGGAGCAGCGGCGAATGGGCGGGTCATGGAGAGGATGGTTGAGCAGGACAGTCTGGCTATATTCAAGATTATACACAAGTGCTGTCCTGTTCTGCTGCACTGATTAAAACACTTGGGGCGATGGGGATGATCAATAAACGTTTTTTATTTAAAAGGTTTTTATATACAACATAGTGGTGCACAACATAATATTCCAGTCACACATGCACAAATAGAAAAAAAAAATATTAGATGATCTTTCCGGTGCTCCTAAGTACATGAGTCACTGATATAATAGACTGAAATTATAAGATAATTTGTATTCTTTCTGAGGTGTTGACAAAAAAAAAGTCTGGCCAGTGACTGTGACTTACTGTCCTAGTTTCCTATTCATCATGGAAGAGGGGGGTATTTCCCTATGAAACATAAATTATTTCAGTCACTGCATACTAAATACTGTACATTCAATTGTAACATGAAATCCAAGTTTCCTTCAACATCCTATAGCTCAAATCTATTCACTGTAAGGGGCTGGTTTCAACAGTTGTGTGTAAGGCAGTCTGCACTGCTTCCCATCAGTGATGTAGGATGAACAGTGTTTATGAACATAACACACTTTACTGTTGTGTTTGTGAAGGCACTTAAAAGCATCAGACTAAAGTACAACATATTGTACCTCTACTCTAAAACCAAGGCCTCCTTATTGTATTCTCAGACATTAACAGGAGTTCACATTTGTCAAATGCACTTAATAATGATAGTGTCTTCAGAAGATATGTATGATACAATCTGTGTGTAAGTGTTAAATACTCTTTGGCACATGTGTAAGTTTTGATTACTTGACTACAGATCTGCTCCACTACACAGAAGCCAATATTTATTTTAACTGTGCCATTATGCTGTAATTAGTTTGATTTAAACAGTCAGCCTGACAACATTAAAGATTTTTGCAAATAAAAGGATGTTTGAGGCATGACTCCTTAAGTCTTCACTTTAGTGTAGTGGCTGGTTTGCAGTTATTCCCCTAATCTTTATTACAGTGTTATGCTGTTACTAGTGATTACAGATGATAATGTGTGTACTTGTAATGTCGAAATGACCAGAAGAACAATGTTGTTCACACTTGTTGCATCAAAGTAGACTTTGCCCTAGGGGAAATACCTCAGAAGATTTAAACCATGGTGAGGCGACAGTAGTTTACTGTCAGAAAAGTACACAAAAAAAACTTAACTGTGATAAAAATATTCATAAACATGTATCTACTCCTCTTCAAAATATCTTGCAGAATGATAGCATTTGGCACTGAGTCACTGTGGGGATAGGACTTCCTCTAAGAGCCAACACTTCCCAGTACTGGCCTCCAGGAAACCAACCAAACACTCTGTGCACTGCCAATCAAATGTTCACAATGTAAGACTAAGAAGGATCTTCACATTGCATAAGCAGCACACTGAGAATATCCATCTAAAGCTGAATGCTTTCAAAAGGAACACATTTGCTCTATTAGCTGGTGATGGTTGGTAAAAAATAGACATATAAAATCTTAAATATACATTTTGGCACTCTTCAAGCCCACTTCAAAAGGGTTTCAAATAAACTTCAAGAAGTCTGTACTGTACATATTAAGAGGCTGCGTTAGTAATGTAATGAATGCAGAAGTCTTTTTCAGATCATATGCTCATCCAGGTGTCCTCTCAAAAGAACCGCTGGTGATGGTCCTATCTGTTGACTAAATCTGAGCCCTGTGTGGAGCAAACAACATAGTGAGGAGCGTTGTTGTCCATCACTTGGGAGCTTGGGCTGTTGCCGTTTGTCGGGGTACACAATGGACCGCAGGTGGGATTGCAGGTGTTTGTGAGTCTGCGCAGGTACTCTGCGTGGACAGGCTTGTGGCTCTGCAGAACCTTGATGGCTTCATCAACCTTGAACCATTTCCGCTTCCTTCCTGCAAGAACATCAAAGAAAGTGCAAACTGTCAGCATATGGTTTACACTGGCCAACAGGTAGAAATTTGGTGTTGTGCTCAATGACGCTTCAGTACATTTTGCCCTCAAGCAGAAGTCTGCCATCCCTTTAGATGCCTAACAGGAAGTCATTTTAATAAAACTGAAAGATAACCAGATGAAACTGCCACTGTACTGCAGCAACTAATATTCTTCACTGGAGCTCTTTAGCTGTGCTACTGGTCACCTGACTGAGTGGTGAGTAAGACTGCTCAGCGAGCAAAATAGTTGCAATTTGCTATACCACAATATTACACAACACACTCAAGAATAAAGTGCAGCACGTGTTGCAGCACTAAAGTCAGAGTGGAAACAGACATTCCTGACCTTCTTCAGTTAGTTAATGAAGCCTTCATGTCAGCAAACATTACTAAAAAAAAGCATCTTTCATAAAAACAATGTACACAGTACACCGTCAGCTGGGGGTTATTTATATTTTCTTCAAACCCATCCCCTCCCCCTATTCAACTCCCATCAGCATTTTGCTAAAGGAATTCTCTGTAGCCTGTGATAATCAGAGGGCGGTGTGAGAGGGGAGGATTCACCCACTTTATGTTGACATCGTGAAGCACACCACCACTGGTCTTTCAACCGAGGGGGAGAGTAAATTAGAAGAGTAGTGCCAAACCCATTCTGCTCAGTCCGAGCCTTCGCACAGGGTAAGGGAGGACAAGTAAGGAGGGGGCTGTGGTGAGTGATGATAACTGAAAAACAACTGGGCACAGCGAACATTCCTCCCCTTTGTGAACAGGCTCTATTTCTGTAGGTGAAGGCAGTAAATGATCACAACCACTTTTTTTCTAGACCAGTTAGAACTAGTTTATGTTCTGAGTTACTAAGTCCCCTGAGAAGCATTAGGTTTAAAATACCAAACACACTCAAAACAAATAATAGTATTTATTTCCGGCAAGACTTCATTACATGCTTGTGCATAATCGACATCAAGAGCAACCTTTTCAATACTGAGACTAAAGATGGGCAATGGAATATTAATTTATGGGCTGCAACTAATGATTATTTTCATTATTGTTTATCTGGTGATTATTTCCTCATTATTTACTTTATCTTGTGATCTATGAAATGTCAGAAAATTCTGATCTTGTTTTCACCAAACAACAGTTTGAAATGTTAAGATATTCAGTTATTATCGCATAAAATAACAAAGCAAATCCTCATCAATGAGAAGCTAAAACCAGAGAATGTTTGGCATTTTTGTAAAATAAATTACTTAATTATCAAATTAGTTACAGATGAGTTTCCTGTTAACTGGCAAATTAATCTTGTTATTTACTAAATATGGAGATTTGTATCATTATAACATTGGCGTAGCGATGATTCACTTTGTCTGCACCTCCTGCTGTTTGAGGGAATATAGTCAAAATATCAATAATGTGGAGCACATGTGGAGTGGTAATTAATTTTAACCCCACTAAGCTACTAATCTGTGTTTAAGGGAGGAAGGCAAACTGTTGCTACACTTTCTCTGTCTGTATTTTAAGAGTGTAAACACCACAGGTCAGGTGGTTTGACTTCATCGATAAGTATGTGTCCCAGTTTCTCAGCTTACAAAATGATGACCGGAGGCCCAAACAGTCTTTCTGAACAGTTATCCTTCATTGGGATCTTAGTGAGTCACTACAATATGAGCAAAATGTGAAATACTGGTTCATAACCTTTTCTGGTGAACAGTGAATATACAGCCTGATGCTTAATCAAAACAAAAATTCAAACCAAAGGGACTTATCTCTTCCCTGACTCAACCTTCTGACCTGTGATGTACACATGGGCTTTTTTATTGTCAAAAAAGTGACCAACATGGGTCAGAATAATTTCTGTATGCTCTTACAACTGCACACAGAAATATTTTGATCTATGTAATAACACAATTTATGCAAAAATGTTTTAATTTGCCCCAAAACCCTCCGCGTTCAAGTTTCCATCTTGGTGCTGTGGAGCAATGTTTTTATGAGTTGGTCCCCGCTTTCTATGCATCATGAATGTGTTAAAGGCTATTCCACTGATCGACCCACAAAGAAACACCATCAAGTGCAAGGAAAAGGATACTTCAAGCTAGGAAACATGCATTTCATGATTCATAATATTAAAAAATGGCTTTGCAAGTGTTCTGCAAGGAAGAAAATAAACTCAACATGTTTATTAGACCTCAATGATACACACAGTGTGTTCTGGTGAGGAACACTCGATGTAAACATGAACTTCGTCTGTGTCAAGAAACCTCCACATGGCACCTTTAATTTTCCTCTATGCAGCTGATTGAACGGCCTTAGTTACTTACTAAACAGAGAAAATTATCAAAGTGCATGTGACTAAGAGGACAAAAACCTCTACAAAAGGAAAAAATGGTAGTAAGGGGTTGATGGCCTCAATAAAATTAGGTCAGTTTGAACAGGCCCCTGAAGAAGTACAGTGACATGATATACAGTCTGACTGTATTTCAGTCTGTGTAAAAGGCCTATGGCTATGAATTATTATAGAGCTTGTTGCTTATTTTCTGTATATGGGTAAAAATACCTTATTTTAATGCAAAACTATTAGTAATATGACTTAAAGATAAGTGCGTACCAATGTTGACAGAGTCCTCCCAGTCTTCCAGTGTCTCTGTCACAATGAGGGTATAGACGTACGTCCGGTGCTTTCTGTCTTGATTGTGCTGCAAAGGTTTAGATTAAGACACTACTTTATATTACTGCTGTAAAATGTATCAAAGCTATGAATGCAAAGCTTTTATATAAACAGAAGTTTCTTTTATAGACATTATGTGAACAAAACAACTCAATGCAATGACTGACTGTGAGGACTGGCACATAAAGGCACATAAAGGCACATGGTAGGTACATGGTAGGGTTACCAGCTATGCTGATACAGAATTTTGAACATTGTGAAATATTGTATTATATACCACATGAGAATTCACTACAGTTTCCCATGACAGTTTAACAAGCTTACCTCAAAAATCCCAAGTAGTCTGCCAAGCTTTCCCCTCACACCAGCCTGCACACACATGTAGAAAACTTATCAAGAGGCATTCAATTCATTTACATTCCAGTGACAACACAGGGTTGTATACTGCCAGTACTGAACATTGAAAATTTGTCCTTCCAGCTCTAGCAAAGCTGACTGAAAACACTCACTGTGCGATATTTTCATACAGCTGTGACACAGCAAGAACGCATGACCTGGTGTGAGGAACAGCTTGTCTCTGTTCTAATGTGAACATTTTTCTCATTTAGGAAAGGAGACCCTGCGGCGCGGTGCCATCCTAGCATGGCCACGTGACTGTGAAACAGCATAGCAGAGAGGAGCAGGTAGACCTAAACATAGTCTGAATCACAGGATGATGACAGAGAGGGGCTTGACACAAGTGCACTACACCAGTCAAGATCCATTTCTGCTTATACACAGTTTAGATTTTTTTGGCTCTGGTAACATCATCAACACACATATCATAGAGTAGTGGAGGTAATTTGTGTGAGAGTGATAGTTTAACCTCTTCAGACCACTAAAGAACATTCACACTCATTCTTCAGTTTAACTGTAAGAACTCGTAGACATACTACTACCTGAGATGAGGGGGGCAGAAGTAGAGAGTGCTTTCAAGAGAGTGTGATTCCAAAAAAGATCAAGAACCACAAGTGAGTTAATGAAGCTTGTGCAGCTTGCTTCAAGTCAGCAGATACTGATGACATGTATAGCTTTTTGTCAAAAATGATCCATGTCGCTGGATGGTAGAATCATCCCAGGAGCTAATGGCTTTGTTTAGCGCCTTGCTGTGTGGCATATTTCAGACTTATCCTCTCATTTTATAAGTTAAGATCCAGAACCTCACAGACACAATTGCTGGGTCCCAAATCCATTAACAAACCAATCATGTGATATTTCCCAGCACTTTTGTCAAACCTCGGTCTAAGATTGCTGTAGTTCTTAAAGAAAAAAAAAAAAAAGAAAAAAAAAACTAAAAATTACACACAATTTCCTAATAGGACTGAAAAATATCACATCTGTGCACAAATCAAAACTATCAAATGGACGTGATTTTGATGTTGGTTGATGTGTTGAACTTGACAGCAGCGTATTAAAACATGACGTTTTGAATTATTAGCTTGCCACAGCAGTTGGTTTGCACATGTCTGGTCTGGGAGGCGCAGGATGTGGGTAACTGGAAACCCTTCCCAAATGTCACTGCCATACTTCAAAGCTGTCAGCACACAAGGCAAAAGCTCACAGCTCACTCTGGACAACTACCAGCAACCCGTTTTACTAAACCACAGAACAATTAAGTGGTCATTTATGCATCACAGCCAAACATTTCTATCCCTCATCTGGATTTTGGCTCGCAAAACAGTGGGAGCATTTCACACTGTGAACAGTGACGACAATGACCGCCAAGAATTTCTGCTTATGACAATGATTATTTGTGTCTGTGCCTCTAGCCAATGCAAATTAATAGAATATATGATTTTTTTTTTCTAGAATGTGCAATACTGACTTGGCAATAAAGATGATACATGACATGTGCATTTTTTTTGCTTGTGTTATGGTTATGTAAGGTTGAAGGGTCAAACCAGTGGTTTTGCAGAGCTTAACTGCATTATTATATTAAGACTATCATCACATGGCAACTTAAGTATGAGATGAAATTTTGAAAAATTTCTCTTTTTGATGCATTCATGTGACTGTGGAAAATCCCAATATCCAAAACTTGGGGAGTTGGCCTCCACACTATAACTTTTCAACACATGAAATGACCTAGTTCGCAATGTTCATCTTTTTTCTTGTTGTTTATCTTCCACTTTCATTTTATGACAACATAGCTTGTGAAAGCAATACTGCTCCTCAGCTGACCCTCACAACTCACATGTTGGAAATTCCCACGACCAAATGAGAACACCAACAATAAAAGTTTGTACTCACACCTGCATTATCATGCAGCAGTATCATGACTTTGACCCTCTTTAGGATAAATTACCACCATGCGATTTCCAAGTCTCTGAAAAAGGATTTTCATATTGCACCAAGAGAAACTGAAAACAGGGACCAATGTTTTCAGTTTCTCTTGGTGCAATATGAAAATCCTTTTTGGTACAGTGGTAGAAAATCCATCTAAATACAGAGTGTGTGTGTGTGTGTGTGTGTGTGTGTGTGTGTGTGTGTGTGTGTGTGTGTGTGTGTGTGTGTGTGTGTGTGTGTGTGTGTGTATCTGTAATAAAACATGCAAATACACCAGTATGAACAGTTAAAGTTTTTACTGGCTGTTTAAACACCAATCATAAAGTGTAAAACATGAGCACACACATGAGTTGTACCCCTCTGTAAGTGTGTCCGACGTGCTCACCTCTTCGTACACCTCTCTGACGGCGGCCCCGCAGGGCTCCTCCTCAGGCTCCATTCCTCCTCCTGGCACAATCCATTGGTCTGGATGTCGACTGCTGCTCACCAGCAACACCTGCCAAGGAGAAAGGCCTTCATCAGGTCTCTGCTGCTGAGGTCAGGAGGCCAAAAATCACGCCAACGCCATGCCCAAGTTTAGAGTCCATCATCACTAAAAGGTGTCTGGTGGCAGCTGAGTGCGGTGCTATTCATTTGGCAGGATGTGTATTGAACATCCCGCATGTCATGCCAGTCATTCACTTAATGCAACATGAGTCTGTGGACTGAGCTCTTGTGCATGACACAATCTTCACCACATAAATAAACTAAGTGAATGAGAGTAACTAGTGTGATTTTTCATCACTCAGCCTTGTTGTGATTTGACTGATAATCAGAAAAACAAGTATATAAGTAATAAAGTACAGCCATCTTTAGATTTGCTATTATTGTGGGTATGAAACATTATACTTGATATCATTTTATTTGGCATATCATTTCCCGACATGACAGCATAACTGATTTAAAATATGACTACAAGAGGCCACCAAAACCTTATGATATAATGCAAAACAATGAAATATCATGAACAACCTAACTATTTAATACTGTTAAAAGATAAATCAAAACCTCATTTTCCCAACAATTAATTAATTCAACTGACAATGATAAAATATTAAGAACTCGAGGAGCTATGAAATATGACAAAATCAGCCACACACACTATGTTTAACTGACCTCAGACACATGCAGTTTGGTCTTTTTTCAGCACGGTGCCCCTCTGGAGATGCAGTCATTTGACCTCAAACCATATCTGGCATCACACTGACCCACATTAAGTTCACATGTGAATACTTTCTGAATCCTGCCTTCAGCTAACCGGACTCGTGCAGTCACTGTATTCTCCAGCGCTTCAAACCTTCTTATGACTCTCCTGACAGCAAAGGTTGATCAAAAACTAGGACCAGAAATCAGCTCTTTGCATATCTAACAGCAAAGCACAACTGCTCCAGCCGAGGTTTCCCGACATTGAGATGTGTCTGCATACCTCCTGAGAACTGATAGTGGAAGTATGGAAGATTTGTGAAGAGCACTAATGATAACATCTTCACTGCCGTCAGAGCTGGTCTCCATTGCACAAAAATTACTGTGATGAGTGAAACTTCATGCTAAGTGACCCTCAGCTGTAACCGGGTCAAACCCAATGAAATATAACCCACAAGAAATCTCAGGAATCAGAAAGTACTTAATTCAAAATTTATTTTTGACAGTCTCGCTGTTACCTGAGCTTATGAATACACCAGCCACATCAAGAATTATCACACTACAAAATGACAACTAACAACTCATAAAGAGCTCCTGTTTGCACGCCTTGGATCATTGGCTTAAATGCGTAAATGCATGTGGTGTGGGTGTGACAAAACTCATTCTCTGTCTCTGTTCCTGCATTTACAAACCCTCTGGAGACCATATGATTTACTTTTAACACAGGCAGCTATGTCAATATTTATGTATGGATAACAGGCCTAGTTAGAAGGTACAAGTGATTTCGCTGTCATGTGATATCACATTCAATGACCTGAATCTGCAGTAGCCACTTACTCTCTGAAAGCTGCTGAGTTAGCTTGAGTCTTTACTCTTACATGTGCCTTATTAGGTTAGTAGGACAAAAAAAACATTAACTTTTATGCATGGTTCACATTATGATTAGAAAGTTGTTAAAATATGGACAGTAATATAAAATGAAAAATATAAATGTTAAATCTAAGCTACATACTACATTTCTTTCAGCAATCCTAGAGTACAGTGCCTATAAAAAGTATTCTATCTGTGTCCCTGCACACAGTCCCTGAGGACTGTAGAAACACTGGCTGCTGTCTCACTGACACAAATGCACACAACACACACATGCATGCGCAATTTCACTCAAACGCCATGTGAAACACGTAGGCATTGCACGTACGCAGCTACTGGCGCACACACACTCACTCACTCACACATTCACAGCCAAAAAGGCTTTTCAAAAAACCACTGGATCAGCAGTTGCCTTTCTGTATGAAAACAAAAGAGCTTAGCAGAGAAGGTTAATGACCCCAATAGGCACTGCACACCTCATTGAGAGCTCAGAATGAGGAAGAGCTTTGAGTGAGCATATCCACATCAGCTTAAAAGGTGATCACACCTGATCACAATCCAGCTAAAATATTGTTGACAGATATTATACTCATACTAAGATAGATGAATCAGGTATTATGAGGCAAAAAGTTAAAGCAGACAAATACTTAAATTTTTTATTTGATTTTTAGCAGAATTAAAGTTACTGATTAATGCATTAAATTTATAATAAATGATTAAATGGTTTTTAAAAAGTGTTGCTAAAGTTCTTGATATGTTAATATTGTGATACTGATTTCAACCACATTTCCCAAACCCTGCCACTCATTCTAATTTTGGAAACAAGATGTGCAAGTTAATTGAGACATTTTCTCGTGTACAGGATAATTACCCACAACACTTATTTGCCAATTACAGCATGTATCACTACTCAAAGAATAAAAATAAGCTATAGTATAAAACTGTAATTTTCTACTATAACAAAGGTGGAAATGGACTGATTGCATTATTATTCCAAATACAAATAACGTGATGTCATCCTGTCCAGCATTTTGCTGCAGACCTGTTCCTGTCCTGCTGGACTCCAGCTAACATATTGAGGAAGTGACTGTAAACCTGGAATGCAGACTGGATTGAAAGTTTACCACAAAGTGTGACGTGACACAAGCAATCAAAGTGAAGACAGTGAGGATGAAGGACAAGACGATCATGGCATATAACACGAGGCCATTTCAGCATCCTCAAGTGCAATCAACAACATTCAAAGTGACTTTTAGCGTATGTCAGCACGTACGTCACAGAGGAATAGCAGAGAGAGAGTGAAACCATGATGAAGAGCCACACAGAGAGAGAGAGAGAGAGAGAGAGAGAGAGAGAGAGAGAGTTGGGAAGGGGAATGCGTGTGTGAGCACGAGGAGCAGGAAAGCAAATCTCTCAGGGGACAGCAAGTGCCTGTACCTTGTTTCTATAAATTGCAGCTGATAGGTCACTTGGTGTTTAGCACACAGTGTAACACTCAACCCCCTGCCCAGCCCCCTACGACCCCACTCCCCCTATCACATGTGGTCCTGAGATGGGCTGCCGTCACTAGGCAGACACAGTTGTGATCTAGGACACCACCACCACCCCCTCCCACCACACACACACACACCGAGTCTGTGTGGGAAAACTCCTGCCTGTGCTAATTTAGCTTTATGGCCTATAATTAAATACAGACTAAATATGAATGAATGAGACAAATGTTTCAGCACTCCAGAGCAATTATACTACAGTTTAGAACAGGCAAACACATTAAATGGAAATGCAGCAGCAACAGGGTGAAAGAGTTGCACGGTGCCTCTGCAAAGGATTAGTGATCACAATGGCATGTGTAGATATGGAAATGCTCTTGTATAATAACCACATCAGCTGATACCAGTATATGAGTGAATGTAGATGCAAGATTTTAAAATGACAAGTGGTAATTATAGGCTGGAGCTATAAATCACATGCAATATTACACCTATGAAAAGCATCTGCAGTTAACAAAATATGACAAATAAATTCTTGAGTGTGCAGGGCTTTCACTGACAGCAGTCCAGCCAGCACAGTTACTATCTGGGCACAGTGAGGATGCCTTGTCTTTATGAATTATGAGTTATCTGGATTTCCTCTTGGACAGGAAATGAAAAATGATGGTCTCCTGCTAGGTGCAGGTTACAGTGGGTGCCAGCTTGTTAAGACCCCCTGTTGTTTAATAGGTCAAATATTTGGCCCTTCAGCCAAGTTATGTTCACCTCTGCCCAACACCTCAACTAACATCAAACACGTGAATGCACTCTCACACACACACACACACTATTAAACTGAAACTCAGTCTGTTTATGTGCGTGTCAGATGATAAAACAGGATACTGTATGATAGTCGGCGAGAGTTCAGGAGTTAAACTCGGACTGTGTGAAAAATAAAAGCCTGGTTGGAAAATGCTCTTTTCTCATGACCACCACTGCAAACAGTTTAACTACCAACTTCAGCCGTCGACAGACAGACACATCTTACCTCGTCCTCCTTTTCGGTTTTGAAACACAAACACGCCGCTCTTCTCTTGAACCCTTCGCCATCGTACGTCCTGGTCTGGTTGGGCTTAAACTTCATCATATATGTTCCCAAACGTCGAGTGTCAAGAAACGTAAAAAAAAAAATGTTGGGAACTGAAAAAATCTGGCTTCAACCAAACGCCAACGAAAGCGGTGTCTTCTTCGGCGGGAGACAGCAGAGGCAGTGTATCCCCACAATATCCCCAACTCGACTTCTTCAAATAGTCCCAGTTAAAAAGTGTGCCCTCGGTTCATTCATTCCTGTGCTATGAGACAATGTCAGGCTGCATCTGGTCGTATATTGTGCCTACCATGGTGGTTTAGTGCCGCTGTCAACACGCATGATTCAACAAACTCACTCACATCTGTGGTCGGTGAGCCGCCACCAGCTGACCTGAGAGCTGCGCAACAAGCTGCCCGTCAGCTGCGCTACGGGGAGGCTCGTGTTCATCATTAACGAAACGATTTATAAGCCAAACGTAGATCCAGTATCTTTATTCAGCCCGCAGCTGCACGCGGCATAATAATCACAGAAAACGACGAGTGAGTTGGTTCAACCCTAAACCAAGGCGCTGTGAAGATCAATTGAGTTCAAGCCATTTGAGACGATTAGTTTGCGATGACGGTTGTTGTAATTCATAAATTACTATTTCTTTACAAATCTTTTCATTATCAATTTTCTTACAGACATTCAACCCACCTTCCATCCATATGTTTGAACAGTATAAAACCTTTATGAATGAAAAATTTAATTGAAATATGAACAAGCAAATATGCCCCAAACATTCAATAAACACAAAAATAAACCCTAACTTCCTATCCTTGTAGTACATTTGCATTACATTTATATTTATATAAGCTATTACATTGTATGGATGGTTTAAGTGGAATGAATGAAGTAAATAAGCTCATATTTGTAGCAAGTGTTTTAATTTTAACCAGTTAAGGTGTTTTTAATCAATTTGGCAATCGGTTATTGTTTCATACCCGCCTAATATGAGTTGCAAAGGTACATATTATAGCCTATTATCTATTTAAGTCATGTCACGATTGCCCAATTTCCCATAGTAACTGAAGGAAACATAAAATAGTTATCTGCTGTTTTAAGGTCAAACAAACAAAACAACATAAGTCTGAAACAACTTTCAGTGCAGTGAAGCAGCCTGGTGGTAACACTCATTGGTTATTGACAGTAGCATGTTACTTGTGAACTAGCTAGGTTAAGCCTGTATTGTACTGCTGAGTGTAACAGTTACAGAGCTCAGGGCCTCCCTCTAGTGGATGAGGACAGTATTTAAACCGCAGGATGTGTTCAAATGTGAAAATGTTCAGAGGTGTTTAAAAGGTTTGTGAAAAGTCAAAGGGCATTGCTAAGCTCTGCAAAGATAATATGCATGCAGGCCACAATCTTCCAGGCCAGTGGGACAACTCTGAAGAGCCTTAGAACCTTTAATTTAATCTGACTGAACCAGATCCATGTGGCTGAGAGGACCCATAGTTCAGATTTATTCTGTTCACTGTGTCAAAGTTGTAGGGTTTAGGTTAAGACAATGGCATAAGTTTGATCAATGAGTATCTTTCAGTACATTACATGAGAGATCTGATTTCTTAATGGTTTGAATAAACAACACGGTACATAGTAGTATCGTGTGTATAAAGATGTGTTTAGTCAGAAAACATGATTAACTTAGAAAGTCCTGTGCACCTGCACAGGTGTTTTCACTTATTGTGGCTAATTAGACCTCATCAAGCTGAATTTGTGCAAAGCTGTGGCACATTGGTCTGAACACTCTCCCAGTCCTGTGAAAAGGTGTAATCAGGCAAAATAGGAGACACCTGTGGGGGTGGCCCATATAGTTAGTTTTTTTTTTTAAACTTCCCAGTAGTCTAGTGTAAATAGTACAAACTGGCTTTACCTCAAAAAGCTACATTAAAAGGTTGCTTACACTTGGTTACTTTAACACATAAAGATAACACATTTATGTATGTATTCTGTATAATAAACTTAAAAGGGGCATTCTGCATGATGAACACTTAATGTGGCAGTTTTTTGCTGATAACACAACTGTACTTTTACTTAAGTGAATTTTAATGTTAAGTTTGGAGGATTTTAATGTGTAACAGAAAACATTTACGTCTGAGTACTTCTTGCACTACTGGTTTTGTTTATGACCCTTCTTACCAGTGTCTCACAATCTGACCAGCCAGCTATCCCCATCAAAATTACAATATACATCAGCAGTATGTCACGATTGTCTTACATGTATCCCATCAAGAATCACACACAGGCAGCTATTTATTAATCAATAGATTTTATTTACAGAACATAAAAGTATGCAGGTGAAATGTTTCATAGCATTCTGAGAGCAGGAAAATATTTCCTCCCCACGTTGATAGAAAGAATGAATTTACAAACAGTGAATTGAATACAGACTTTTCAGCCACAGACCAATTACAACAGTCGACAGTCACAGTCTTCATTGATCTTTTGGAGTTTGATCCCGTAACGCACAGCATTTTGCCTTGCACAGGTCAGTCCCTCAACACCCCACCCTAACATCATGTCATCAAACAACTGACAGCTTAAATCCTTGCTTCGTGAAATAAATGCCATTGGAGAAAGTAAACCACTGAGGCTTGTAGAATTAGACTGTGATCACGTACAGGGAAACAAGCATAGTAGTTAGTATGGCAATAGCAAGAAAGATTCACATATAAAAGACTGGATATGGTAATAAAACATATACTATGTGCTAAAACTAAGGAAAGGTCCACAATGTCCACCCTACCCTCCACATTCTCTCTCACTATCCCCAAGCTTACAGTACATCTACACTGAGAGTGGTTCAAAGTTAATGCGGCAGGCTCAGTTTGTTTTTTAGTCATATTATTTTAAAGCCAGATGTGACTTAATGACGATGCATGACTACAATTGCTTATGTGTCCTGCTGCACCATCTACACAGGACAAAACTCTGGTCCATCTGCAGGTGAGTGTCTACATACAGTGGGTTAGTAGTAGTTAGCTGCACGAGAAAACCAAGTTAAAAAAAAACAAACAAACAAACATAAAATGTATACCATATTGACTACATCTAGCCAGTCTCTCATCCTCACCCTTTCCACGGCTCTGGGCACTCCAAACCCATGGCACCCTCCCCCAAAACAATGTGGGACATAGGAGACCCTCTTCCTAAATGTGCCTGTTCAAGCAGCAGTTGGCAAAAACCTCCTAAAATCAATGGACAAAGAAAGCCAGGTGAGAAGATCTAAAACCTCTGCCCATGCATTTCAGCAGTAGTGAGTTAGGACATAGACGAGTCATTTCATTACTAGTGTGCATTTAACTCACCGACTGTCCGTAGTTGTTTTTTCCTTTACATTATATTCATGTTTATTTTATAATATACATATATATATATATATTTAAGACTGTGTCCTTTAAATGCAAATGAAGTAGGAAGAGGTCTTGGCAGAACATGAGGAGTTGCGTTCACACTTGAATTCAATTTGCGTCTCCACTTGTTAGGCTTCTCTACACTTCATTTTTGTTTCCAGCATAAAGCCTGGTCCATGACTTGGCTGTGAACAAAAAAAAACAGAATAATAAGATGAGTAGTGTAAAATTTACTAATATGGCTTTGAACTACAATTAGTGTAAAAGGGCTTTTCACTAAGTCTGTATTGTGAAAGTAAAATTGTAAAGACGTCTTCATAAACCATCTCACCACCTGCAGCCGTCTTCATTCATTAAATAAAACTTTATTGTGAAAATGGACATTGAATTCTGACAAAATGCTATAAATTATAAATCACAATTTTCACCTTCAAGACGAAACTGGGAGACACATACCTGACCACCTTATTGCTGCTTGCAGCTTTTATTTTAGTTTTGATGTCATTAATGCTGTAACTACAAATGACCACAAGGGACCCCTCTTAAGTCTCTTTTATGCCACTGTATCACAGAGTAAGAAACAATTTATTTGGAATTTGAGAAATGTTACTGTTTTTTAAAGCCCTTTTAAATCTTTTAAATATAGTTTTGGTGTCCCTTGAACTATGTGAGTATTGTAGTTTCATCATATTTCAGTAACTTATATATACATTGTACCATATAGATATGGAATAGATAATTCTGGTCAAGATAACTGAAAAACAATACAACACCAAATATAAAAATCTGCCTGGAAATGCAAAATAAAGTGTACACTGAGATTTGCTTTTGTGTATGTATGTATGTTTGTATTTAGGCTGTATATTCCTTTATTCCAAACGACAGAGGGGGAAGTGAATGGCCCACTAGACAAGCTGGATATAAAGTGTAATAAACCCCTGTTGAACCTGGACAAATCACAGTTCTCACCTGTTTCTATGGCTTCAGCTTCATTGGACTTCCACTTCTCTGCAACATCATTTGCTAGGGGATCATCAGGGTTGGGTGCACTTAGTAATGCCTGGATTGATAGCAGCACTGTACGAATCTGCAGAGCTGGTGACCATTTGTCTGAGAAAAATAAAACATGTAAAGTAGTGAAAAATGAGTAAAGCTGTATAGTGTATCTATTTTTTAATGAGGAGACAGTGGTGACATGCAGCAGTAGTGACAGAAACCTCCAGTTAGAGGTCACAAGTGTAATGTAAGAGGCCCTTGATCTTTTGAGCAAGATGAAATTGGCAAATCCCTCGCTTCAAAGGCCAAACATCACAGGACAAAATACATACAGGATTTCCTACAGTAACAAGCCAGACTCAACAGAGCGAAGATACAACAGATACAAAGCACCTGCTTGGGAAGACACAGACTTTCTCTCAATTGTTATTTTAAGCTCTTAGAGGAAGAATACAAGTTTTTTGAGGTAAAACACACTGTATACCACACATTACAGCTGGAGACATCTGAAAATGGGTTCCATGTCAAACAAAAGGTCATGAAACACACAATCTTCTATGTTCCTAAGCAGTAACTGTGACATTATTATGTACTGACTTACCTTTCAAAATGTCTAGACATATTCTTCCCAACTTGTCTACATTGGGATGATATATTTTGGTCATGAAGCGTACTTTAGGAGCTGCCATGGGATATTCCTCTGGTAAAAAGAGTTCAAGTTTAAATGTGCCCCCCTCAAAAGGCGAGTCCTGAGGTCCAGCAATGACCACATGAAAGTAGCGGGCGTTGCTCTCATCTGGCTCTGCCTTGATGCCTGGGACAGGCTCTGCAAGCAAACGCTGAGTTTCCTGGTATAGAAAAAGAAAAAGAAAAATTAATTGGTGAAAAAAAAAAAAACTCCACTGTCACAACTATAAAATCCCATTCAGACATATGCAGACATGTGTTAGTGTTAATGTTGATGTTTTTAGTTAAATCATGTCAAGAGAGCTACTAGAGATGCTTCTTTTGTAAATGACAAATGCATAAAGGTATGTTTATGTGACAATTACAAGACAGTTCTTTAAAATGATAAAACCATTTTCCAACTTTCTGTGTCTGTCCAAAAACTTTTGAGATAGTTACTATTTACCAGGGCTGCAGTTTACGAGTATTTTCATTATCAATTAATCTTAAGATTATTTTTTCCATTACTCCATAAGTTGTTTAGTGTAAGAAATGTCAAAGAGCAGCAAAAAAAATATTTTGTAGATTGATTAATTGATTATTTAACTAATCATTCCTTCTCTAATATTTCAGATTTAGGATTTTTAGTATTTGCAAAAGCATATTCTTCACTACAGAAGAGGCAACAACCAAGATATCTGACAAAGATCCATTATGTGTTACATGGGTTATGCTCTTGTGTCCTTAGTATTTTGTCTCCTTTGGTGATTGCAGACACTTGGAGCCAGTGTAATGTCTGTTAAATTACAAAGCTGTGATTTACACACAGCTACACCTGTACCATGCAGGAATTTTTTATTGGATATTGGTAAAACCTGTTTAAAAATAAAAGATTTCTAAAAGCCCTCACCTGAGAGCTTTATGCATCCTTGTTATTCTAACAACAGTGGTGGAAGGCAGGAACTGGACTGTAGTGATCTTGGCTTTTATACTTAAACACAGAGGGGAGGGTGGCGTCAACTGCAACAGTGACTCAATGCTGTGAATCTGAAGACTCTCTGTGCAGTATGTAACTGTCTTCTAGAGGTGACACACTGACTCAGCCACCAAGCCACAGGAGACCTTATTGCCATTTCCATCAGCCACTGCAGTAAGGTTACTCACAACTCATACTGACAGCCAAGTGACCTACAGAAACACACACCTTTACTGTAAAAGAGGAGCAGATATCTGGCTTGTGAAATGCATGAGGCAGCATGAGTGACACACCTGAGAGATGCCTTCAACAAGGAAACTACATTCAAACTCACTGCTTTGCATGTCATTATATTGACTACAACACTGCACTGTACAGACTATTCTCCAAACTGCAGTATTGATAACACACTCTTCCTGCTTTTCCTTTGATTATTTACATTTTAAATTTAAACCTAGTATCCCTTTGTGCCTGTTTCAAATGCAGCCTCATATAATAGGACAATTAACAGGACAAATATGTATGACTATGTGTGAAAAACAAAGCATCAAACAGAGCTTGTCAACAGCCGCCACTCTTGTTTTCGAACCTCCTCTCCTGAATACAACTGGGAGTGAGATTCCTGAAATGTTTCAGATAACCCACAGACAAAACCATGCAGTGAAAACACAGACGGTAGAGGGGCTCCCAGTCCCAGTCACACGCTCTGAGGGCTCAAGGGCTCGGCCTGCTAAGTACTGTTCCCAGCCTTCCCACCTTTTCCCACCAACAGCCTGTCTGTGGTTTGCATACTCACGCACCTGTGCAACTTTCTCATAGATACCATTCACGTTCCTATAATGCATTTTTGATCAACCTCAATGTAAGGTAGGCCTTTACTAATTAGACAAGCTGCAATTTTTCAATAGTAGGGTAAATAAACGGAGATAATGAATGTTATTTATATAGCTAATGCACTGACGGGTTTCTTAAGGAAAAAGAAGAGATTGATGTTACTTCAGCATGGCTTGTCTATAACCACTGCAGCTAAGCTGGCGTTAAAAACTGGAAAAGAAACAAAATTAAGACTCAATTACAGTGTCAGACTGGTATTACATGAAGAGACAGAAGCAACTGAGACAGAAGATGATGTTACAACAACCTACCTACCAAAGGCTGGTTACACCAAATATTGATCTAATTTTTTACTGCAATTTACTTTTAGTACACAAAACTTTTGGACAGTAATGCGCGTTTTCGCTGAATACTACTACTGTCACAGTGCGGAAATGTACTCGTCATGTTACTATGGTTTTGCATTTGGTGGTGCAGAATATAAGACACCTCCCCCGAAAAGCAAAGGACTAACAGCTGCCAAACGGCAGTGACAATACTGTATCACAGTGTTTGAGCAAACTGCTCAGCCCTCTTTGGTTAGATAGCTAACATCACTGATGCTGATGCTGCCCCACAGTCACGGGCCATGCGGCAAATGTCTGATCAAGTATCATCCTACTTTATTACTTAGCTTCTGTTATAGCACATCTGTTATGATGCTATGGTGCAGCTCCTGGGTAGTAACTCACTTTTAAACTTAATAAAAATGAAAAGGCGACTACAAGAAGCAAACATACCATCTTAATCTCACGTATGGCTAAATTAAAAGCACAATACAAGGAGTATCAGACATTTATCCTTGTTAAATGTTCCTGTTTTAATCATTCAAATATAAACAAAGCTAACAAACTAGCCGGGGTTAGCACAGTTAGCCTGGTGAGCCAGTCCTTTAGTTAGCACCACAGTCTGATCAGTAGCAACTTGAGAACACCATCGTGCTTCTGAAGTGCATTTGGAAAAGACAAGCCCGGCAAAGAGCACATTTATCCGCCATTTTTACAAGGCGCTGATGTATTCTTAACCCACCCTGTGTCGGTGTATCTTGGCACGGGAATGAAACGGAAGTTACTTTAGCAAAGTAACGTTAGCGAGCTGGATGCTAACGTTAGCACACAAACCTGTCCACCGGCAGAGCTTTGGGAGTTCAGACTGTATCTGTGTGTATAGTCTCCAGTCGTTGTTTTAAGTGTGAAATAATTACCTTAACGATCCTGCGGGGCAGTCCTGCCATCTTGTCTTAAATGCGGGCTTTTAGCTCTCGATGCCTCCTCTCTGTCGTTGGCATTGACAGCAAACACACGTCTTCCGGGTCCTTTGCGTCCTGACAGAGGATAGATAGCCGAGAAGAGCAGCAGCTCATCAGATGTACAGTCAGTGTTTAACACAGATATCATGTAAAACTGCATCAATATAAAGTTTAGTAAGTGTAACATCAGACGCATCAGACTTATGCACCACAGCCCTGCAACTTATCATGATAGCACTACTGGAGTCATCACTGACAATTTTAAATGTGAATTAATTTGGTCTTATAATAACAAATATTTTGTCACAATGTCAGAGAAATGTGTTTAAAATTCTACATTTCATTTACCTAATTAATCAATTTCTAAAGCAATATATTAATGGCATTTCTGAATTCCCTGGATATTGTGATATTAGTAGGCTACAGAAACAAATACATTTATTTTATCACTACATTTCTTTTAACTGATGTGGAACATATTTTTGACATTCTGTGTGGGACAAATATTCATTTACAGAAAAAAAATACAAATTCTATGAGAACAATGCTTCAGAAATCAGAATGTCATCAAGAAAATGCTCATCACATTCATTATTAAATAGTTTGAAAAGGATAGTAAGAAAAGGTATTCTTAATTACGATTTTACTGTCCACATTAATTTTCATCTAAGTTTAAATTATCTGCATGACTTTCACAGAGTATTTTAGAAAGTATCCCCACTTGGTTTACTTGGCATCATATCGCACTTAAGAAGTGTATTTTTTTGTGGGGCACTTTTCCAGCACTTGTTTGTCTAAGATTGCTTCCTCTGTAAGCAAATGTTTCTCTGAAGTTCGCAGACTTTGTGCTATTCTACCTGTTTGAGACAAAACAAACCATGAATTAGACGTAACACTTCCACTGGCCAGTAAGGCTGCATGATACAGCTGGATTTCCCTTTTCTTTTTTTTTCTTTTTTTTGCAGTGCAGGTTGGAATGGGAGCTATAGATTGGAGGGAGTTTGGAGCTCCTCCCTGACAGATCTGTATGGACAAAAGCTTTGTCCCTTTGGGTGTCAGGCCTGTTACGTTGACATCAGCAGTGCAGCAAACTAAGAAGAACTTTCAATCTTCTGACTAAGAAGACTAAGAAATCCAGGATGCCATTTCTGCCCCAACATCAGCAGACAGGTGGGTTTGATATCTCTGTAATTTGTTAATCTTTTGGCACAATTTGTACATAGAAACAGGAATGGAATAAGAAATCTATGTATGATCTGATTTTTATTTGCTTTGGCAGGAGTATAGTCAATTTTACAAGTCTCTGGACACTATAGAGACTGTTGAATTTCATCCTAATTATGATTGATTTTCTGATCTAGTTCATAGTATTCATGCTTTATTTTATAATATTGTCACACAAACATGAAATCTGCTCAATAAGAATACATTGTGTTAGACTGGAGATTTTGGAATATTTAGAGATTATTTTTGAAAAGTTTGTTCCAACCAAAAGGTGATAGTATCTGAGTATACTACTATGCCTAACCCTGACCCTGGGTTTGCCACCACACTTTAGCACTAAACATCTATTATTAGCCTTTTGTAAAATATGTATATTACAGGCAGCCAGGGAAACAGCCAGGTGTAAAATCTGAGAATTATGACTAATGTTTGTTGCCTTTACAGGTGCAAGGTTTCCGCTCATGTATTCATGATCATGGAAGCTTTTCTGACCAATCTGACCTTGTTGGATTTGAAATTGATCTGTTTCTGTACATGTATGTGAACATTATAAAATATTTTTATGGCTTCTTTAGTATCTCTGTTTAAGACATAGGGGGTTTTGTAGCTTAATCCAAATGTGTCTTATATGTGTCAAGGCAAAATGGCAGAATTTTAGAAATGCAAAAAAGTCCCTTAAAAATGATCAAAAAGACTACATTTTCACAAAAAAATTTAGTCAAAATAACACTAACTAATTTGCAACTTATCCACACTTCTAAGTATTGGTTCATTTATACTTACTAGTGGTGTCTTTTAGCATTCTGCCCTGCCCCACCACACCAACTCTCCGAAAGTTTCCATTGTTAACACACACACAGGAACAGACGAACCAGCAGTTAATCTGGTCCCTTCTCTCAGTGCACAGAGAGAACAGACAATATCAGCCACATTACAGGGGCTTCTGCTCACACTGCTTGATTTGAGTTGGAAGATCTATTTCGACAGGGCTTAGCCAGAGTATTTTACTTAGATACATTATGGGTTAAGCTCTGGCTGATACACAAGACTGAGTCTAAACAAAGTGAAGACTGACTCTGCCAGCGGTTTTGGCTTGTTTCCCCTTAAAATGAAGGGAAGTCTACTTGTGACCCCTCATCACAAGTTGTGCCCTGTGATGGACATGAGCTGTGAGAACTTCAACTAAACAGTTTTTTTTTCTTTTCAGATCGTTTCACTGAAGTGCTTTTAGATGTATATCGCATTTTACAAGAAATAAGCAAAGATTGTAGAAAGGCCATTGAGACTAAAGAGCTTTCTGTATCAGATGTTTTCTTTCTCATCGCTTTAAAGCAAAAGCTCCACATTTTCAGAAATATGCTTTTTCACTTTCTGGTGGAAAGTTAGATGAGATGATCAATGCTGTTCTCCTATCTGTCTGGTAAATATGAGGCAACAGCCAGCAGCCAGTTAGTTTAGCTTAGCATAAAGACTGAAAAAAAGGGGGAACCCCAACTTTGTCCAACAGTGACAAAATCTTCCCATCAAAACTTAGCACCAAGAAATAGTGCGGCAAACACTTCACACTTCAGTTTTTGCACAAATTCAACAAACAAGACATAACGTGTTAATTTGTGAGCTTTAAACGTGCTGGTAGGGGGACTGTGTTACTTATGGACAAAGCTAGGCTAGCTGTTTCCCTCTGTGTCCAGCCTAAGCTAAGCTAATCAGCTGCTGGCTGTAGTTTCATATTATCATGAAGGCATGAGAGTGTTATCAATTTTCTCATCTCACCCTCAGCAAGAAAGTGAATAATGTTGAACCAATCCTTTAATCATCCACTGACCCCCTTGTTCATTTTGAACATCACAATCATCTCACATACTAACTAACTGACTGTGTCTGTCATCTGTTACTGTCCTTTCCTTGATTTTCCTTTTTAGCTCAATGGAGCACACGCTGCTACCTGGCATGTTTATTCATCATGATCACCCACTCTGGACCAGTTACTCCGCTTACTGCCCCTCCGGTGACAACAGGCCTCCGCTCTGCTTTCTCTGCCACACAAACCAACAGTGTAGTGGGAGGCAAGCAGAGGGCAGTGACCTTCAACAGGCTCATGGTTAACATCGGAGGGGATTTCAATCCAGACACTGGTCACTTTCGCTGCCGTATCCCCGGGGCTTACTATTTCTCCTTCTCAGTGGGGAAGTTTCCGAAGAAAATGCTTTCTGTCATCCTGGTGAAGAATGGGGAGGAAGTGCAGGCTATGGCGTATGATGACTACCGCAAGAAAGGAAGGAAAGTTCAAAGCCAAAGTGTGATGATCACTTTGAAGGAAATGGACACAGTGTGGCTGCTTTTACAGCAGAGTCCTCAGTATGCTTTGTACAGCAATGCTGGTCCTTACATCACCTTCTCTGGTTACCTCATCTATCCTGACAACTCCCCAACCAGCTACATCAGCAACCACTTGGCCCCACCAGGGCTGTCCTACCCAAACTGCCCCCCTCAGGCTGATCCCCAGGTCAGAGGTCAGGCATCAGAGCAGCCACGGTCTGCCTTCTCTGTGGCACGGACATCCACACTCATGGGTCAGAGTAGCAGGCAGCAGGACAAGCCAGCTCTGAACTTTGATGTGGAGTATGTCAACATTGGCAACCACTTCAACAAAACCTCAGGCCTGTTCACCTGCCACTTCCCGGGGGCATACTTCTTTGCCTTCACTGTGGGGAAACACCCTCGTAAGGCTGTTTCTGTGAAGCTGATGACCGGAAAGGGCGAGGTGCAGGCGATGGTGTTTGATGAAGACACATCGAAGAGACGGGAGATGCAGAGTCAGAGTCTGCTGCTGACTCTCCGTCGGGGTGACAGTGTTTGGCTGTACAGTCAGCAGGATGAGCGTTATGCTGTCTACAGCAACCAGGGAAGGTACACCACCTTTTCTGGCTTCCTAATTTATCCTGAAGAAGTACCGCTTACACCCCCAAACAACCAGGACAGAACTCACTTCTAAATGTCTTCAAAAAGAAAAGAGGAAAAAAAAGAGAGAAGATAGCAGAAAAAACTCAAAATTTGTTGATGCAGAAAATCTGTAGGTTATTTGCATGAAGAAGAAAAAAACTTGAATCAGTGGTCAGTATAGAGTAAGTACATTTACTGCTTTGTTTCTTTGCATTTAAATTTTTTTTTTTAAGTAAATAATGTAATTCCAGACGTAATATTTCTTGCCAGATTACTCCACAAGATGGTGCCACATTACAATTATGGACACTAACTAGCATTCAAGAGAGTTTATTTTTGTTCTTTAAGTGCAATTAGCTGTGAAACAAAAAGAATATTCTGATTCTGTAGTAAAACACACACACACACACACACACACACACACACACACACACACACACACACATATACTTTTAAAATCAAAATTCTCTTTTGTTTGTTTATTTTACATGTAAAAATTATCATTGTATGGCATGAGGACAATTATGTAAATGCTGTAAAGTTTATTTTCTGTAAAGTGTTAGTTATAATTTACTTACTGTAAAAATGAGACTTTGACATATATCATGAATGGTGATGGTTAAGTTTAATATGGAACTTTTATATTGTGGATATACTGTATCTGAATCTGTATCTGCATGATGTTTGTGTGCATTTCAGGCTAATCTAATAAATTCATACATTTTAATGAAATAAAAAGGTTTTTTTTCATCTAAGCCAAATAATACAAAATGTTGCATTGAATACAAAGGTAAATTATGTGTCACTTAAGTTGGGTAAATAAGGAATGGGTGGATGCTACAATCTGTTACAGTATACTGGAACACATTGCTACTGCAACAACTGCAATTAGCATATTAACAAATACAGCTATTACTGCAGTAGGCTATGCCAGGTATCACAATGCTAAAGAAAGAAAGAAAGAAAAAGAGAAAGAAAGAAAGAAAGAAAGAAAGAAAGAAAGAAAGAAAGAAAGAAAGAAAGAAAGAAAGAAAGAAAAAGAAAGAAAATGAAATGGAAGAACCAAATATTCAAAATTTAAGACCATTAAGTATAATGGTACACATTAAAATGGGGCATTAAAGTGCTCAAACGCAATGTTAAATATTCTTTAATTATAGAAAATTGGGTAAAACATGCAAAAACACATTTATGGTCCTTTAACTGAGGTCCATTTGTTCTGATAGCCCACTGGAATGAAATATTAACACAGGTTTAAACATAGACATAAATAAGGCACAAAAAAACTGTGTTTTTGTTAGTTACTGTTGAAATTTATACAATTGGGAGACCGTATTTCATCAGTGAAAACCTTTTGACTATTTTAATTTTCATTATTTAGTCAATATTCTTAAGTAATTTGCACATGTCAGTTTAGTTTATCAAGATAAAGTTTCAGAAAGAGGAACAACGATCATGATTTTCCAGATGTACCAGATGATATATCTGTATGTCCTCACTGAACAGCTGTTACCTTTGTGCTGACCACTATCTACGAAAAAAAGCTTAAACATTAACTTAAACTTTTTCCCTGTTAATCAGAACAGAGACAGAACATAAAACCTTTGCATCTTTACGTACATGTAGCAAGATCTATGAAGACTGAGTTTTACAAATAAAAAATAAATGAAGCCATTATTAAAACTTAATGTAATCTAAACCTTACACTTCATATGAGCACCATCTTTGCTTTGAATAAGTTCCAGTGTTTGTACTTGCCTGACTAATCGCGCTGGGCCTTCAAGATTTTTTTACATTATGTTCACAGTAATGAGAAATCTGCTTTACCTTTGAATAGTTTCCTCTTTGTGCGGAAAACACTGCCATAAATTCAATTGCCTCTACAAGTCTGAGCTGACTAAATCGCACGGCAAATAGACATGATGATGGTGTGAGCCATGAAAAAAAATCCATGAGCAGAATAAACTCAAACAATACTCTAAACCGAGTCAATATATGACTAATGCCGTCAAGGTCAGACAACATAGAGACAAACAGCTTGTGCAGTTGGACCATGACTTTGTCTTGCAAGTTTAAATGTTCACGTTATCATCCCCAAGCTATGAATTTCTTCCCTTCTCCTGCTGTGTCACTGCACGTCCCAGATCTCACAGAGCAGCGGGGTAAATTTGTGGTCGTTCATCCTCCACGATGTGAGCATCTCTGCGTGGTAATGGTTGAGTGTTCTCAGCTCCGTCAGACGGCCCAGGAGCCGAGCGAAGTACTGAGGCTTCTGCGGGTGCTGTAGCCCACACAGCTTCCTCAGCATGTCCAGCATGGGCTCCTGAAGTCTCTCAACAGCCTGCTGATCCTTCACGTAAGGCCGATCTGGAGAAGAGAAGCGCGGACCGTGATGATAGGGTATCAACAACTGTAGGGAGATACATAAACTATGAGGATAAGTGAGATGTTGATACTGGGTTACCTGGTGTCAAGATGGTTATGGCTGTGAGGAGAGCCTGTTCCTCCTGTACCATGTGGAGTTCACCAATGCTTTTGTAAAAGTTGAACATTGGTGTCATGAATTCCTCTGATATACCTGCAGAAAAAGACAAAATGGATTTTTGGCTTCATATTTCAGTTTTCAAAAATCTTGACAGTGCATCGATACAACGCGCCTTGAGCCTTAAAAGCTCAAAAGCGGAGTACAGACCTTGGATCAGTGATAACATAAACAATGTAATGAGCTGTCTTTAAGCCTTGGTTTAATTACTTACAGTAGTTTCAGCTCATTTACGGTACCACAATAACAATGCCCTGGTTTAGATGAAAGATAAGATACAACACACACAACAGACAAACAGCAGGAGGATTGATTGATTGTTATCAACCATCAGATTCTGACTGAAGTTAAACAGTACAATTTTAAACTGACTGTAGTGAGTGTAGTCCAAACAATCTATTTAACCGCTTTTAAAATGAGCCTCTAAGATGATTACCTTTCAAAATAAGAGATAATCTGCAGGAGGAGAAGCAGGAAATGTAAGAGCAGTAGACAGAGTTTGTCTTGCATAACAGTCTGGACTTTGCACCAGGATATTAAATCAACAGTCCTCCCTGATCTGCATTATTGTTCACCTATACAGTACATTTCTGACCGAACGTTATCTACTATTCTATACAATATAATCATTTAAACAGGTGGCAGAGGTCACTTCATTCCCTGTATACCAAGATCAAATTTCATTAGCCAGTTTGTCATCTACAGCACTATTCCTTACCTATAAATGTGATGTTGAATCAATAATGACATATACACAGCAAGGCAACTAATGTTGTTTGAAAAATGTGTATTTGCCTTTTATGTTTGAAACATGTTTTCCCGTGGAACCTGAGAGTCAACCATCATCTGAAATTCAAGGTTCATGTGATAAATCCAAAAAAAAAAAAAGACTTCACAAACACCTTAGTGCAAAATACATGAAGGGCTGTCAGGGAAAATCAATGACACCACAGTTACCAGCTGGCCTCGCTGACTTCTCAATAGCTCAAACACTAACTATAAAACCCTTCAGTTAGAAATCAGAGGGTCAAAGGTGATCTATGCTCTGCTGTATTATACTGAGGTGGGTGTTACGGATAAACTGGAGAAGAAGAGGAGAGAGTGGGAGGAAGAAATGTAAGAGGTGGAAGATAAATACGAGAGCACAAACAAACACAGCAAAACATTCTAAGGCGAAGAGCAGCATTAAAAGGGAGTGAATCTGAGTGAATCTTACGTGCAAAATCTGTTCTATCTGTTCTAGTTATGACTGTAAAATGAAAGAATGGATCAGAGTCATAATGTATACTATACAAAGAGAACATTGCAACTGAAATACTTTGATTGCATAATGCCTTAACTCAGCTTTGATGGTATATTTCCTGGTCATACATTTGCGCATATTAAAATACTGTAGTCGCAGTGCAGCAGGATCTGCAGAGCCCTTCAGCACATTACAAATATCAGCTTGTCTGCTTTTGTGCTTCAGGTAATGATTCAATAATAAATGAGGATGAATATTACGAACTGCTTTCTATATGACTTCAAATGTTTGCACTCACTTTTCAAACTAGCAGAGGGTGTCTGTCTGCTCGGACACACCATTGAAGCATTCAGAAATGCCAGTGAGGCTCAGAGGGAGAGAAGTGGACAATAGCACTCTTGATGTTTTGATAAGAAACAATGGTCTCTTCAGACAGCTTTGCTCCCTTATTCTCCCTGACTGGCCTTTAGTGTGAATATCTCCTATCCCCACCATTCACACAGGCGATGCGCCAAGGGACCCAGCGACGCACACACACACCCCTGACATCACAGCCACTGTCTGTCTAACTGTCCATCCTGGTTGACATAATGACACATATAAATATACATGTAAGTGATTTTTTTTTATTTTTTTTAAAAACCACCTGTCAGTAAAGCTATTCGATATGGCACATATGTATAAATACAGAGGCGGCAAAAACAGAATATGTGAGAAAGACCTTCCCATGGCAGAAACAACCAATGTGTGTGTTTTAATCCATTAAACCCAGTGCCACAACAGCACTGGGTTTACTTTGAACGCTCTCCTTAAGCTGCAAGCATGCCCTCACACACACCTGCAACGAGTGTAACTGAACCCAGCGAGGGTGTGTGTGCATGTGTAACCTACACCGAGCCAGAGATCAACAGGTCAACACGCATCGCCCAGCTGCATCACACAGATCAGGCTGATCAATTAGTAAAGGAGGATCTGACTAGACTTGGCTGCAGGTGGGGCAACAGAGGTCATGATACTCTTGAAGGTCACAAATCAGGAGTTAATATACTGTAGTTCCAAATTCAAGAGTTACATGTACTACTACATGTATTACTAGATTTTGGATGATGAACGTTTAGAAGTTCACAGTTATTTACACTATGATAAGTTAGAAGTCAAGTACAGTACAGAAACACACATTTTTAGGGGGGATTAAGTCAGCTGACTCACCACTCTTGCGTATTCTCTCCTCTAAAACTTCTGTGTGTCCGTTGGGCATCTTCCTGCTGAAAACCTGGGCTGAGCGCAGAAACATGGCTTCCACGGCCGAACCCTTCAGCAAAGCGATCTGGTCTTCATGATCTAGAGAGAGAAAACCTGCCAGAGGAATAATACCATTCATTACAACCAGAGAGGAATAATGAAGCAACTTTTTTTAAAATTTACACTACCAGTGTGTGTACCAGTGTGTTACACTACCAATGTGTGTTATGCCTCTGGCCATCGTCTCTTATTCTACAGGATCTGCCAAAAATAATACCTGGAATATTTTTTGTAAACTCCACCAGAACTTGAACTTGACTAGTTGCCATTTCTGTCAACAGGAGGAAGTTTTCCTCTGCACTGTACTGGTCTTGTAGCTGTGGGGGAAACAACAACAACAACAACAACAGTAAATAGCAACAATAGAAACAGATCACATCATCTGAGAGGAGCAGTAGATTACACAGGCGCTGTGTTGTTGTTCTTGGGCTCAGCTATGAGGATGTCAGGGCATGTTGACAGCCCATTTCTAAGAATGTAATATTGCAAACTTTAGTAGATGAACCTCAGATAGATGTCAGCCTAGTCTGACATCTATCTGGCACACATGAGCTGCACTTACTGCTGCCAAATGTAAGCGGCTCATCTGTTAAAATGAAATTTTTGATGACAGCTACCTAAATGGATTAAAACAACATGAAGTTTAAAGAAATATGAATGTAACATACCAGTTTTTTGGCCATGTCTTGAGGAATTTGATGTCTGTTATAAGCATCTACAATGATTTTCATCATTGCCTGCTGCTCTTTGGTGAGTTCAACTTTTTCCTGGATTTAGAAAGAGAAAACAAAACCACCCGTCATCAAGAGGTGACACTGTTTATGAGACAAAATCAGTGGATTTGGAGAAAAACATCAAATAAATGTGAAAAAAAAAAAAACTGCAAACTTCCAAGACAGGTTTGACAGGCTGTGATTACCTTTGACAGTTTAGTGGTAGAGGTGACCTGTTTGCTGTCTGTGTTGTCTGTCCCCTCTGTCTCGTCTCCAGTCGACTGTCCCGGGGAGGCCTTGGTGTTCTTCCGTAGCCTTTTAGATTTACACTGGATCTCTGTCAGAAGGCCTGCCAGCAGTGATGAAGGCTTCACTATGTGTGTTGAATACCTCACAGCTCTTTATTCAACAGCCATGCCATGCAGTTATAAATGCTCATTTTCATTTATCATGAGACCATATTAATGTTGTATTAAATACTGGTACCAACCTGCACAGAAACACTGGCGAAATTCCATCATACTTTAGGGTTAGAGTAATTTTTTTGCCATTCATATTTCAACATGATATATTATATCTAGTGTAACTTGATCCTTATCCTGAATTAATAATTAACTCATCATATAACGTTTTCTATGATTGTGCATGAATGTAAGACCTTGTCATTCCTTCACATCTATATTTCTCTCTCTGCTTTGTAAATTCAGCCAAAGAAGAAACGATATATCTTCCCTCTTTGTAAAAGGCTTGAGTGGACAGTGGAGACAGGCAAGTCATCAAAGAAATAAGACATCAACCTCTGCGGTAAATTAGCATATTTCTTTTCACACTATATGACCGAAAAGCTCTAATTTGTTGAGCCCTTGTTGCGCCTGCAGGTACAGTCATTAAAGCCTGCCACGCTGCAATATTCATCACACCTTCCCTGCACTATTTATGAGCAACAGGAGTCCAGTCCATCCTCCTGCTCTGTTCTACTGACAGCTCCAAATAGACCCAATAACTAATAATCCTCTAAAGACTTCAGAGCGAGTACATTTTTCACATTTATCATTTCTGTCCTCACGTTTCCTCACAATGTGGCATGCTTTGTATTTAAAAATACCGATGACTACATTCCCCAAGAGACAAAGGCGTTAAGAAAACTTTTAAGACAAACACTCTACAACAAATTCCTTCTACTGGCACTTCATATTTCTTAAATGAAGCTTCTATTCCTGTAACAGTAACAAAAGCTGGACCTTTCCTTTGTCTGTTATGTGATATTCAATCCCCCAGTAAAATTCAACACCCCATGTCAGAATGGAAAATGAGGGTTCACCTATGCAGCCATTGCCAGCCTTTCTTGACACTACTAAATAGATAGTACAATGTGTGCATGTGATGCTGCCAATCAGTTTGAACTGATGCATGATAGTAAGTAGAAATATACCTACGATTTCACCCCTCATCGTATTAACAATAGTTTCAGCGTCCTGTCAGGCACCAGACGTCATACTCACATTCAGCCAGCATGCCCATCTCTTTGCACTTTCTTAGCCGACACTCCTGGCATTTCCTGCGCATGTACATGTCCATCTCACAGTTTCCACCGCTCTTGCATTTGTACACAGCGTTCTTGGTTATGCTCCGTCTGAAGAAACCTGAACATAGTAAAAACAAAGGCATTATCATGTGCAAGGTGCAGAGGATGCTGATACAAAGCCAAGACATTTTGTACTTTGATGTGAATATGGACGACACCGATCACATACAAACATGCAGTACATGCAGTATGTTCTGTCGGGCCACACTATAGTATGCTGGCAAATACTGTACTTAAGTGTTATTTTCAAGTAGTTTTCAAGTAACTTATACTTATTATTTTCATGTGATGCAACTTTAATCTTCAACTCTACAATGTTCCAGATTGTACTTTTATTGTAAGCTATTCCTATCAGGACACCCGTGATAGCCCCCCTGATTTTTAATGTAAAGGCTAAACATATAGAAATATTTTTGGTAAGCATGCATTGAATTTGTTTATTAAAGAATAATAACCAAGGTATGCACTGAGCAGGACATTTTACAGTTACTGTCCAAGACAAACTGTAATGGAGACACCGTTTTCAAATGACAGGTGACAGTTGATTGTGAAGAGGCGGACAGCGACAGGGAGAGAGAGAGATGACAACAAAGTTCCCAGGCTGGACTCAAACCATAGATGTTATAGTTACATGGCATACACTGTAACCACAGGGCACTCTTAATTGCTTATGCAATGCAATGGAATATTTTTAAATAATGATTCTTGATAATGATACTTTTCAGTAAATAAAGGCTCTGAATAATAATTTTACCACTGCACAGTGTGTCATGCAGATTCTAGCTTTTTAACCTTGATGACTGACAAGATATGATTATTATCAGATAGAAATAAAATTACAGCTTTACTGCACACTGTTCTAATTATGTCACACAGAGAATCCCATGAACCCAGCAGATAATGATACAGGCAGGGCAAACCACACACACACACACACACACACACACACACACACACACAGAATAACTTTGGAACAGTTATTAGACATTCTGACATACAACATTAAACACAATGACATGCATTAGCGTAACTGAGCTCAGGTTGCTCCTGCATTGTACAGCAGAAAGCTGAGAGGAAACCCAATCTGGCAGCAGTACCAGGCAGACCTGAGCCTATTCTCAGTTAAATGGCAGGACAGGCCAGCTGCTGCACTCCTGGCATTGTCCAACCTCACAGTGTGGAATTACACTCATATCCATTCACCCTGTGGTTTGGCAGGAATCACAGCAAATTCACAGTGTCATAAAGGAGGAGGAGCTGCTAAAGGCCATGACTTCACTATCACCAGGTGGATAACTTTTACATGCGGGCTGTAGAGTGCTCTTGCTCTTACTGTGAAATTCCCTTATATATCCTTTTTTCTCTTTAAACCAGCCTGAATCCTTTCTCAAGCTTGAGACGTTCCTGTCAGACCTGATCATATACATATACCTATATAAAACCTCTGGGGTTGGAAATTAAGCTAGCACAGAGGTGCCAAAAGCTGCAGTTCCTGAAATGGCCACTTGAGGCTGGCATCAAAATTTCTAAAATCATGTTTACAGACTGGTACAAAAAACTGTTTTAGTCTCTATAACTAATTCCCTACTTCATGACAACTGTACGGAGGGTGAATTTATGTATAACTCACCTGTTTAATTTCATTAAGGCTTAAAGTTGTGCATAATTGAGGGCGTAGCTGCTTTTTTTAATGACCGGTGGGTGCCGTCACAGCTAGCTAGTTTTCTGCCCTGCCTCACCTCAGCTAATTCAAGTAACTGACCGTGACCTCTCTGCCTTCTTTGTGGTGTTTGCGGATTGAGGATTTTTCATACTAATATTGGACATAAAAAATATGGCTTGTTTTGCGGTTTATTGACAAACAGAAAGTCATGAAGTCTGGGTTCTTGTACTACAGCATCGGTAGCAGTAGATAAGTACGATTAAACAATCCCTAATCTGTTTTTACCAGCAGCAGGCATATACTGAGTCATTTGTAGCCTCAGAGAATATTCATTTTAATCGTTTTAAATGACACATGTTCACATATTACTTTTCACCTGCTGCTGTTTGGACTGTAGATATGAACATACCAGTCATGGGTGGCATCTAAAAGTCAACAGTTAAAGATAGTAACATTACTTTTGCTATGTGGGCCAAATGTCACTCTATGAGTATCCTGCCAGTTCAAGCGACTGTGCCTGGATATGTACTTTAAACAGTACAAACCCAGACAAAACTTGGCTCAAATAAATACACTTTAAGAAATCTAACAAGCTGAATGAAAGTAGCTTTTTATAGAGGACACATTTCTTCCTTGTGTACAACTGTATTTTGGATAAGAGCTGAAATTATTTTCCTTGTATTCTGACAATTCATGACCAAAATGATTGTAATAATTGAGGGGGAAAATAACTGACCAATGATGAAAATAATAGTTAGTTGAAGCCCTATTTGGGATGTTTAATATCTCTGAAAAATACAATTCCTTTGAATAAAGACTAACTTAGATGTAACTTTTGCTGAACAACAACATAGCAGCCTCGACAGCCTTTAAGGGGTTATTGCAGGACTCTGGCGCATTAGACTTTGGCTCCGGGTTTGAACGGTTATGGATGGAAGCAACACTAAAGCCTTAAGCACTTCTCGCGGGAGATCCTACCTGCTCAACCCAAGGTACACAATGCAACAACAAGCATTCAAGTCTCATTCAAGTACTCTCCCTATTACAAGTCAGTGTACCATCAAAATGATTTTGAAGCTGTTGTTTGAAGGTAAAATAGTTGCATAATGTTGTTTTAACATCAGCTGCCCTTATTACAGTTACAGTCCAATGTATCAAAACACAAACTAATTCACTCTAACTATAGAAGAAATAAAAATTTACATACAGTATGTTATGATTTCAAATCTCACCTTTACAGCCCTCACAGGTGAGAGCGTTATAGTGGTATCCAGAGGCTTTGTCTCCACACACAACACACAGTTCCTCCCCTTTGACCCTCCCAGCTTGAGACATGTGCCGCATCCTCTTACACACGGTAGGCACCACAGCAGACGTCTCCTCTATCTCAGCATCATAGCTGACCTCCAGGGGTCCTTTCCTTAGTTCATATATCCCTGTGTGTGAGTACCATTCATCTCCATTGTACTGAGGGTAGTAGTTCTGATTGGAGTAGTATGGTGTGGAAGACATGGTTGGCTCCATGGATGGGTACTGCATGCTGGGGTAGTTGGTGAAGGGTAAGAGGTCGGGATCCTGCAGGAGGGGGCTGCTGTGATCTGCCAGAATATCTAAGACAAGAAAGAAGAGGAGAACAATTAAACATCATGTAGAGGCATTTGAACAAAAATAAATAGATAAAAGAGAGAGAGAAAAAACAAATCATAAATCAATGTCGATTACTCTCTTTTTCAGACTTGCCGTAATTTATTCATTTTTTTAGCCACTTGGGGACAGTGTAACAAACAGTGGCTGAACTGTGTCTTTGTGCTGCTTGATGCTGGACAGTGAGTGTACAGTGTATTTATCTGGGCATTTTAGCTGAAAACAGCTGTCCTGTGCAGCTGGAAATGAAGATACTGAACCAAAACTTTAAAGTTGAAGGCTATAAAATCAAAACACTGATGAGTCTGCTGATGATTATGTGTAGGAACATCACTACATGTGACACCTTTCACATTACAGGTCGACCCTTACAATCTATAACACTGTATCCTTAAAATTTTCAGTTTTGATAAGAAAAAAAACTGCAGAAGCTCGTTGGAGTATAAACTGGCTCAGCAGTAGGCAATGCACACAACGCATACTGTAAAGCAATAAATGATTAACGACTCGCTTGCACAGCACACTGTGTCTTTTAGGATGACATGCAACTCTACTCCAAACAAGTTGGCACTTTTGAAACTGATACAATAATGTTAATGGGATCCTACTGTTTCTTCCCCATGACTGATTTCCTAAACAGGCGTAGTATATTCATAACATAACATTTCCTTTAAAAACATCTGTGGTGTGATAAGTACAGTTTCAAATTGTAGTCCACGAGAATCATCCGTCAACTGCACTGAAATTCTTCTCAGATGCTCAAATCTGTCATTAAAACAAGCGGACTGTAAACTATAGGTAACACTGACCTCTTGAAGACTTGGTCTGGACCATGGCCACCTCAGTGTGACCAAACACACAGAATACTCAGAGATTTTACTCTCTGATCGCCTGACAGCACAGCTTGGTTTTGTAGGTGAGTCTTTCCTTCATGCCTGACTAAAAGAATCATCTTCCATTTATTTCTTCTAATTCAAGGCCATCCTCTGAAGACGTGAGAATGGCACATGAAGAACTAAACTACTTGGCACTTGCTTGAGAAATCCCAAGGGGAGCAAAGGTTGGTACAGCTACTCATTAACCACAAAGTCGCCTTTCTTTACATCATTACAAGTAGCTGGCTAATATGTGAATTCATTTTCAGATTTGGGCAATGGTTCCAGCTGACTGCTACATTTTCATTTTGTTGAATTTGCTTTTGAATTGTCGGGTGTTATACTGACAAGTGTTTCTGTTACTCCACCCCATTTATATCAATGAGGGTAGGTTGAATAACAGAAATCAAGTTTGTCTGGAAACTGCTTACAGTAACAGGCATCTATTACTGTATTAGTTTTCTCCTTTTGTGATTAGGTGTCTCTATGCTTTTGCATTGAATGGATTTCAATGAAATATTTTACAGACATTCATGGTTCCCAGAGGATGAATCCGAGAAATTGTGGTGATGCCCTGACTTTTCCTCCACCATGAGGTTGACATTTGTGGTTTTGAGTGAAGTATCTCAACAACTACTGGCTGGATTGCCATGAAACCTTGTACAGACATTCATGAATGGTAATAACTTTGGTGATGTAATGATTGTTCATCTAGCATCATAATGTGATCAAAATTTCAGTTTGTCCAAATCTTAGTCAATACTGGATAAATAAAGCATCTATCTATCTATCTATCTATCTATCTATCTATCTATGGCACCCTGTTCCCATCAGACTCCGGTGTGCTTTGTATTTTGAGCAAATTACCAAATTTTAGCATGCTAACATGCTAAACTACGATGTTGAACATGGTAAACATTATACCTGCTAGCATAACATCATCATGTTAATGCTACACTGTGAGCATGTTAGCATGCTAATGTTAGCATTCAGTTCAAATCACCACAGTGTGATAGTGTTGTTTTGTCTTTCTGCGAACTAGTTCCTGCCGAGTAGACTTACCAAACAAGTGGGAGCTCTCTGAGATGGAGAATTCATCATTGGGTGGGATTTGCAGCGGTCCCACCACATTGATGTCGGGGCCCACCCACTCATTCATTCAGGAGGGTCGTCAGGCACCAACTCAGACAACACAGGTTGGACTGGGCCACAGAGTTGTAGTAAGCCTCTGTTTACTTCTGCAACAAGCATAGAAATAGTGTGACTTGTGGACCATGATGAAGATCTCCTGAGCACCCTTATAGGTCTGCAGGATCCTCTGAAACCTGCACCGCAAAGTAATTAAACATCAGCCTGGGAGTCTCTACAATGATGCACCTGACAGGTTTCCTCTCCCACACAGGGATGACATGTTCGGTAGCTGCCTGCAGGGAGATGGGGGATGAAAGTCAGGCCACTACAAGGCCTCCCTAAGAGCAAGTCTTTTCCTTCTATGTCCTGTCAGAGCAGTAATTATATATCCTGTCTCATTTCATATTCAAGTATACATTATGTCATTAGCGCTCACTTGCCAGGATGTATCACGGGATCAGTCTGTTGTCTTTTTTCATGTAATTCTACTAAACATTTTGTGTGCAAACCTTCAGTGTTTATATCTAAAGCTCATTTAACAATATAGTAAACCTTGACATGCTTGTAAACTATCTCATGAATAACAGACATGTTTTTAAACTTGTCCTCAGACTTTCTGGTTTCAAGGCCACAACATGGTCAACATGTGAAACATTACTTTTATAGCCCTCACCTGCTACATTTTTTAATTAACTCAGTGTAATTTCCCCTGAGATAAAAAAAAAAAAAAAAAAGCAACCCACAAGGATTCAGAAAGCTCCAGTCCACACTAACAGCCCACACAACAGCCAAACATACCTCTTTACCCGTCAAATACAGAGGCTCACCACTGGCTCATAAGAAGTCATCGGTTCACCAGTCAACATGAAGTATGTTCACACTCCATTTCATAGGTCTTACCTGATCCTGGTCCCTGGTCAGTTAATGTTGAATTCCTGCCTGGTAACAGTTTTCTTGTTTCTGATATCCACACTGAGAGCTACAGCTCCATCATTATTAGCTCATGAAGTTGCTTGTGTCTGGACTCCAGTGAGAGCATGTGAGACCAGTTGAGGTCAGGGAGAGGAGGAATGGTGGTTATTAATTAAACTGTTCATTCCTGTCCACCCGCCACCCCCCCACCCCCCCCAAAAAAATCTCTCTTTATCTTAACAAGACAAGTGGCTGCCTCATGAATTCTCCAGCAGAACAGGGTCAGACATGCTCACACACAAACACCACATGGAACGTGGAACATACATCCAGTCATTAGCATGATGCAAACATCTGGAAGGAGTCTGAGCAATCTGAGCAGAGGAGCTGCAATCAGTCCAGTAGTTTATGTTTTTTTTTTATCTTTGAGTAAAAAGGATCATGGTGGGATTTTGTGTGAAATTATCTTTTGACTGTTCTTTTAACTAATAACGTTGTACTCATAATGTTTTCATAAGTACAAAAAATTGAGGTTATCATAGAAAACCTCTGAAAACAGACTGTGTGGAAATCGTTGCCATTTGTCCTTGAACTGATCAAAGTCATTTTATCGTGTCACTACAATGTGCGGTGCCAGCTTACACCAAATTTGTTTATATTGGCACCTTCATACCTCACTGTACCTGGTTTGTTGTCTTTGTTTACTCTAAGATCAACATGCTCACAGAAATTGAAATCCCTAATGTCTTTATTATCCTTAATTTGGCCAAAAATAATAGTTTAATCATTGATGGGTTGTTGCTCCATACAAAGAGGCCCTTCTGAGTCAACAGACAGTCTCTCTGAAATAAACAGAACCTTTGCCATTGGCTGTTTGTGGACTATGTGGTCTGTGTTTCATAGCATGTGAGGAATGAGCTGGCAGAGATGGCCTCTGGGAAGAGAAAGACACAACTCCACTGAACATATTCAAAGTTACACGTGCAGAAGTCCATTTTAAATATCTTTCTCCATTTGGTATAATGAGGACCAGAACAGATATTAGGTGTTGGTTTGGTTTGGGCTTTTGTCTTTCCTTTTACCTTGGTGTTTTGTTACTCATTCAGAACAGGAAGGTGTAAACTGTTGTGAGTGACGTGCACATGAAATACTAGAAACACACCCAGCAAAGTGACATAACCAGCCACATGCTCTCAAGGACTTACAGGCACCGTGAGGATGTCTGTGACCTTGAAATCTTTCTTCGGCATGCAAGAGGCAATAATCATTAGACTTTTCATAAATCACAAAAAAAAGCATTATTTATAAGTGTTAAATATGTGTATTTCAGTACTCCCTGACAGTTTGGAGAAGCAAGTTTGATACTGGCTAGAAATATCCTGTTCAGTAATTATCTTCTGTGGTCAAAATGAAGCAGGCGCACGAAGACAGATAAGACAAAGGATGTTTACCACAGTGTGATGGGAAACAGAGCGGACTTCAGAATATTTAAAAATGGCTAATTTAAGCACACTAACATAAACAGGCAGTGTCAGAGACAGCTTATACTGTGACATAGTTAGAGGAGATAAGGAGAATGTAATTTGTATACATGCCACACTGTGCCTTTATGACAGCTATGTGTTAATGATTTAAGTGAGAAAATTCATTGTAGAGGAGGAGACAAAAAACAAAACAATAAAAGCTTTACTATACTGTAGAGTGAGAGAGCACAAGAGTGTTATAGTATTTCTTTTCAGCTTGTTTATTTCTTTCTTTGTGGCTCCAGGGATGGCAGTGTCCACCGCTGATTCAGCCTGAAATATCTCAACAACTGCAGTTTCCATTAAATTTTATACAAGACATTCATGGTTGCCAGAGGATGTAGCCTGCTGACTTATCCCCAGACTTTTCCTCTAGCGCCACCATGAGGTCAACATTTATGGTTTTGAGTGAAATCTCTCAACAACTACTGGATTCATCCTGAGACATTTAGACATCCAGGGCTAATTAGCAAATGTTAAAAGGGGTAAACATTGTACCTGATAAACATAAATCAACATGTTAGCATCGTCAGCGTGAGCATGTTTGCATGCTAGCATTAGCATTTAGCCTGTACAGCCTCATGGAGCCGCTAGCATGGCTGTAGATTGCTCAGTCTTGTTTTCCATTATACAATCTGTAATTTGATTATAAATGATTTTCATAATTTTTTTGAATAGTTTTTTCAAGTTACAAAGTAAGATGAAATGGTGAATAACTTCATGCATGTTACTCGTAGAACCTCTTTTTGGATTTTATGCCTCTAAACAATATTAGAAGATTAGAAATGTAGTTTATTTCATCTCTGGTGTGTTCAAGTAAAGTGCAAATCAAATCAATGCTCTCTCCTCTTCTTTAGCAGTAATGATAAACAGTGTGAATTTCCTAAACTCTTTTGTGATCAAAGTGAAGAATTCCCCTACATTATTTTTAGAAACAAACTGGGTCTTCATGTATCAAACACTGAGAAGTTGCAAAAAGACAAACACCAGAGGAATAAATAGAGTTTCACTAAATGCTTCACGGAGTAACATCAGCACTGAACTCACCAGCCATTTCATCTCTTTATGAGCTCAGAGCGCTATAAATAATGAAGCTGATATAACGTTGGAAGAAGTGGGCTACCTCACAAATGGAACTGGTGATCTGCTCAGACAAAGAAGAGCGAGCGAAGCAGTGACAGAATGCAATCATTCAGCAACAGCAAATACATACAAGCAAAAAAAAAAAACAACAACAATAAGGCTCGTTACAATAACACTGTGGTCTGCTGTCAAACCCATTATTACATTCCAGAAGCACGTCTCTTTTCACGTTGCATAGCTGACACAAAACATGTCAAAAACTGTCCATGTGGTTCAAAGTAAGCTACATAAGGATCAGTCAGCGTTTGCTTGCACAGATGGAGAATGGTCAGCGCAGGTTGGACGAAAAGTAAAGTCTGGTTTGAAAGCTGATATGTGTTTCTCATGTGTCTTTAACACAGCACTAGTTGGTCCATAGATATTGGTCAGGCGTTTGCTTTCTATTGTATTAAGCACACTAGTCTACAGTATATGTCAGTGTAAATAAAATTTATTGTCCAATTTCTGGTTTTATTATGTATTGGTTGATGTTTCATGGGTTTTAATAAAATTGTGTTTGATTTTAGCATTTTGCCTTTTTTTAAAGTTGTGTTTCCATATGATTTTTTTTCTGCAAACATTATAGTACATTACAGTTAAAGTGGTGAAAAAGAGCAGCCTTGAGGTACATATGATGCTGCTTTCTCTGCCACTTCTCCCATGTTTCTGACATTTCCAGGCTGGTTATGAGTGTTTGGGAACTCCGGTCTCACTGGTACCGGTCCTGGTAGTCCCCATTCCCGCAATGTTCCTCCTCTTCTTGCATGGTTACGCCTCTCTTCTTTTTCCAGCCCTGTTTTCGACCGGATGAATTGTCTGCTGTTCCATAACTCTTTTTGGGAGCCATCATGTTCTCACTGTTGAGCTCTGACTCTTCAGCCAGCTCGTCCTCATCAATAATGCCACATTTATCCTCGCTCGTGCTCTCGGGGTTGGCCCAGTCCTGCTGCTCTCCCGAGGCAAAGATAGCGTAGAAGATGACCCCTGAGTAATGCACCATGGCCGCAATAACAAAGACATTCTGCCACTCCAGACGAGTCTGTGGGGAGACGAATATAGTCGATGAATTTCCTGTCAGAAGCAGACTTACAGATCTTTCAATGATGTACCAGTGAGGCAATGATGTAAATCCTCTGAATTACTTAAGGCATTGAACATACTACAGCTGCAATGTGTATAATAAATTTTACAGCACTATAAATTATTAACAATAATTTTTGATAGGTGCAAGATTACACACAGCAGCTCTGTGTTTCATCAAAAAGCAAACCTACTCATATTTTATACATGTAATGGAGGAAAACCTCAGTGAAGCACATCGTTTCAGTGCCTGGTAATTTTTTTTATATATATGTACAGAGGGGCTGGGAATGGCTTTACACACATATACACACACATAATTAGACATAAATAAAAGAATTTCAACAGCATATGAGATGAACAAAGGCCATAAGCAAACATGTTCAGATACAGTCAAGATAAGAAAACTGTTTATGAGCTACTGGTGAAACAACTAAGAAATATATCTTAAAATTCTATATATGTAAACGTGTAACAATCACCTTGTGTTTAGTCAAAGCTCCAACAATCAGGGGACACACCATTCCAGACAGCGTTCCCACCCCGTTAGAAATTCCCATCAGGATGCTGGCATAGCGAGGAGCGATGTCCAGATGATTGACGTTAAAACCTAACGACCACGTTCACAAATAACAGTACTCGATTACTGTGAGCAGTGTCGAAATCCTCTTGACTTCAGGACTTTTGAATATTTTGTAAAACTGAACATGGTTTAGTTCCACATGCACATTTCGATTTTTTTTGTTGTTGTTGCCATGACAACAATCTATAAAATATTCAGGAGAAGGGCCTGTGTGAAGACTTGGTAGGCTAATGCATGTCTACTGCATCACACCCAAAGGAAAAAGTAGTACTGCTTTTAAATTTTTAGACTTTCATAATCTGGAACAGAAAAAAATCACAGCTGCAACATTCTGTGCATTTAAGTATTTCAAATAACTCATGTTTCAAACTAAACCCTCATGTTTTTGGTTTAGAGTCAAAATAAAAATCTAACATTTCAGATCATATACAGATTTTTCTTTGGTGCAGATGTGGTATTACCTGAGATGGCGAATCCACTGAAGCCTACAGCCAGAACTAGGAAGGAGATGGCGACCCCTCGAGTGTGAGAAAACCCAACCACCAGCAGCAGAGAAGCCTCCATCCCAAAACCTGTGAAAATACAGGAAAAGAGAATGTGGGGCATTGGTGGCTATAAGAAACGAGATCATGTACACCAAGTAATTGTAAGAAGTGAGGGTGAGGTTACAACAAAGTCCTGCATAATTCCTACAGGACTCGTTTACAACAGAAACATGTTCCTGGGGGACATTTTTGTGCACTACACTGTCATGTTTTTGATTTTTTTTTTAAACTTTTAATGTATTTTTTGAA